GATCAGTGTCTTGTGGGAAGCAGTGGTGCAAGACCTGGTGTGGTGTGTTGGACCGCAGAGTTCAGCCCATGCCACCTCATGGTAACCAGAGGCACAGTGAACGATGTCTCTCTGCCTTTACATCGTATTTGGCTTTTTGGAGAAAGAAATGTTGCCTAGGTGCAGTGCCAGCTTCATTAACACTTGGGACCTGGGTTCAGCTCAGCTGAGGTACAGAAGCTTGGTTGGATGTTTTGCTTTTTTCTACTGGCAGGACCTAGAATGTGTTCTGTGAATGAAACAAAATTGTCTGTCTTGTTGATTCAGTGAATTCTCTCATCTGTGCCTTTGTTTTCTGAAGTTCGCACTTGTTTTGTGAGTGATCTCCAACGTGGACTGAAAATCCAGGCAGCCAAGTTCAACATTGATGGCAGTGCTGAGGTGAGTGGAGAATGAAAGTCCCTCTGATCTTTCCTGAAGTGGCCATGACTGTTCTGGCCCTGAAAGCAACACATCTTTCCATTTGTAGCGTCCATCGCCGCCTCCAGATGTGGACTATCCTTTGGATGGTGAAAAGATTCTCCATGTAGTTGGCTCCATCCGGTGAGAAATACTGTAGTGCAGTGTTTGTCCTTAGGAGGGTATCTTTTCAGCAGCAAGTGGGTTTTTATCCAGCTGAGCTGCGTTGAAGCAGCTGCTTTTTTGTCCCTTAACCCGAGCATTTGTGCCAGGTGCAACGCAAACATGCTAAAAGCTTTCTGCTTCCCCAGGGCGCTCACAATTGAAGATGAGAGCCAATGGATCAGAGAGATGGGGGAGGACACAAATAGAGAATGAGTAAATGGTGGTGAGACACACGGAGTGGAGTGAGTGAGGCTTTGGCACCTCCTGGTGTTTGCACTGTGTGACAGAAGTGATGTTGTGCTGTCAGGAAGGAGTCTGTGGTTGTTTCTACCCTGCTGGCAGCAGTGCTACTCTATGAGCTAACAGTCCTCTCCTGTCTTTTCAACAGAGACTCAGTTGCAGAAATACTGTTTGAACAGGATAATGAAGAGACATCTGTTGCCACCTTGATCTTAGATTCACTCATTCAGGTATCTTCTTAATACAAACAAGACCTTGCACACCTCCAGCCTCAGAATCTGCTCCTAGAAATGGTTCTTGCAGTGCCGTCCCCCTGACTACAGGTTGCAGTCAGCACAACGTGACTCCTCAGGTTGTGTCCTGTAATGAATTCCTGTGGGGCAGTGAGTCATTGTGTCTCATTCCCTCTGTGGTTTCTTTGTGCTCTCTGGTTCATTGCAGTTTTTTTGGGACAGTTTTCAGTCAAGAAAAGCAGCAGTGCAGTGCTCTCTCCTCAGTGGAGTAATGTGAAAGGAGTTGGGATGTTATTTTTACAGGCGCTGTTGTAGAGATATTTGGCATTTCTTCTCCTAGATCTGATGGGATTCATGGCACTGATACCCCGGCCATCTTTTGTCTTAGCCAGACTCAGCTGAAGGGATTTACAGTGACTCACAGTGTGCTCATGTCAGCCTCAACTGGGCAGTTCCTTCTCCTGGTCTTCTGGGTAGAAAATGATGTAGATGCTTTCTCTTTCTTGGCTGAAACAAGTAGTTGAGGTGCACAGAACTGCCTGCTTTTCTGAGAGGCCTTTGAAAGCATCTGTGTGCAACTGGCATTGAAGTGCTTTTTTTCTTTTCAATTCCCTTTCTTGTCAGTGTCCCATAGACACCAGGAAGCAGTTGGCAGAGAACTTGGTGGTTATGGGTGGCACTGCCATGCTGCCGGGATTCCTGCACAGGCTGATGGCTGAAATCAGGTACCTGGTAGAAAAACCGAAATACAGGGAAGTGCTTGCGACCAAAACCTTCAAAGTTCACACTCCACCTGCCAAAGCCAACTACGTGGCGTGGCTGGGAGGTAAGAATGGGAGCAGCTTTTGGAGCACGGGTCCTAAGTGGGAAAACGGACCTTGCAAGTGGGTTTGGTAATGAATAAATAAGTGGCAATAAGGCTTAGCTGAACTGTTGGAAGCGAGCTGCCCCTGATGTGTGTGGAGTTGTGAAGTCCTCCTGGAAGAAGCACTGCAGGCTGCAGCTGCCTTGTGGGGTGCAGTGCAGGATGGCACCGCAGGCTTTGGGAACTTGGAGCCGGTGGCTTGCAGTTTGAAACAGCGGGGTGGGAGCGAGTGCAGCTGATAGCAGCCTCACAAGTCCTGGCCCTGGTTATTGCAGGTGGTTTTAATTACCCCTTCCTTTGCTAGAAGGATTCTGTGCCAGCCAGCCCCAGTCCAGGAGGTTCCTCCAGTGTCTTACGATAAGTTCCTGGTCCTAATGGTGGATGAACCCCCTAGAAGGGCGCTGCTGGATCTTATTCTCACTAATAAGGAGAGCCTGGTTGAAGCGGTGAAGGTTGAGGGCATCCTTGGTTGCAGCAACCATGAGGTGCTGGAGTTCATGATCTCATGTGACCAGAACAAAATACTAAGCAGAATCACAACCCTAGGCTTCAGTAGGGGTGATTTTTGCCTTTCCAAGCAATTGCTGGGGGAAATCCAGCAAATGGGACAGGGTCCTTGAAGGTAAAGGGTCCTCGGAGAGTGGGTTAGCATTGAAGGACTGCTGCTTCCAAGCTCAAGATTGGAGCATCCCAAGGGTAGGAAGTTGAGAAAGGGAACCAGGAGACCTGCATAGTTAAATAGGGAACTGCTGGGCAAGCTCAAGTGGAAGAGGAGAGTCTACAGATGGTGGAAGGAGGGGCCGGATGCTTGGGAGGAATACAAGACTGTCAGAGGATGTAGGGAGGCAACTAGGAAAACTAAGGCCTCATAGAATTAAAACTTGCGAGAGGGGTCAATGACAACAGAAAGGGCTTCTTCAAATACATGGCAGACAAAACTAGCACTGGGGGCAGTGTAGGCCCTCTGATGAATGAGGTGGTGCTCTGCTGGCAGAAGATGCTGAGAGGGCAGAGTTACTGAATGCCTCTGTTGTCTCTGGATTATCACAAGCCAGCACTGTGCCCCAGTGGCCAAGAAGGCCAATGGCATCCTGAGGTGTGTTGGAGGGGTGTGGTTAGTAGATCAACAGAGGTTCTCCTCCCCCCCACTCTGCCCTGGTGAGACCACATGTGGAATATTGTGTCCAATTCTGGGCTCCTGAGTTCAAGAAGGACAGGGGACTGCTTGAGAGTCCAGCATAGAGCCACAAAGATGATAGAGAGAGTGGAGCATCTCCCTTACAAGGAGAGGCTGAGGGAGCTGGGTCTCATTAGCTTGGAGGAGACTGAGGGGTGACTCCATTAATGTTTATAAACGTTTAAAGGGTGCGTGTCATGAGGATGGAGCCAGGCTCTTCTCAGTGACAACCAATGACAGGACAAGGGGCAATGGGTGCAAGCTGGAACACAGGAGGCTCTGCATAAATACGAAAAAAATCGTCACAGTGAGGGTGACAGAACACTGGAGCAGCTGCCCAGGGAGGTGGTGAGGCCTCCTTGTCTGGGGACATTCAAAACCTGCCTGGATGTGTTCCTGTGTGACTTGATCGAGGTGTTCCTGCACAGGATTGGACTTTGATGACCTTTGGAGTCCCTTCTAATCCCTGACACTGTGATTCTGTGATATTTTCTTGTTTTGCTTTTAGTTACTTTAACGGGATGTAAATGGGAGCAATTTGGGACGGGGGGGCTACTAAAAATGAAAGTACCTCCATCCTTTCATTCCTTTTTAATGCAGAACTATGGTTTTTTTTTGTCAATAACATAGGAGCCATTTTTGGAGCACTTCAGGACATTCTTGGCAGCCGCTCTGTGTCCAGAGAATATTACAGCCAGACGGGGCGCATACCTGACTGGTGCTGTCTGAGTAATCCTCCGCTGGAGATGATGTTTGATGTTGGAAAAGCACCCCCACCACTGATGAAGAGGGCTTTTTCTACTGAGAAATAAGCAGCAAAATGCTACACGAGGGTTCTCCTCATCTGTTTCAAGTACATGTATATAAATATCAGTAGTATTTTGATATGGAGTTATCTGTGTGTGATGCCATTAAATATGACCAGTGTGGGTGTTGTGGGGGAGTACAGGGTCGTTCCTAACCCTGTGTGTGGAACTGTGTTCACGTGCTGTTTAAAGATGAATTCTGTTAACTCCTGTGCTACTGTGTCACCTGGTGAAGAAATGGTTGTAGTCACGAGTTGTAGCTTAGTGAGGTCTGTTATTTATTGGTGCAGTAAATAACGTTGTGAAGGTGCTTTGTTTGAAGATACTTTAATGTCAAGGAATCTTGGACCTCACTGCAATGCCACATTTAGAAGTCGCTTGTTTGCCCTCCTTTCCCTACCAGAATCATTAAACTTCATTGTCCTGCAGCAGTACGAAATGAAAATGCACCACGTGGTTCAGTGCTTGGGAGAAGTGTCCGCTTTGATCTTAACACTGAATCGGGCATCGCTGTGAGCTCCTCTTAGCAGCTCTGCTGCGGTTCTGGGGCGTTACAGCGCTCATTTCTTTGCTCCTGGAGCTGCTGTGTGCCAGCTGCTGACCGGCTCCCCTTGCTAAGAACGCGCTTCGTCACGAGGCCCGGGCTCCGGCCGACGGGCGGCGGTCAGAGCGGGGCGCTGCTGCTTGCGTTCACCCGTGCTGCCAGCCGCACCGCAGGAGCGCTGGAACGGTCCCTGCTCGCAGATCTGCCTTCAACAACGGCTGCGCTGCCTGCGCCAAAAGCAGCGCCTCGAGGCTATGGGAGCTGAGCTGCCCCCCCCTCAGCGCTGCCCCACGCAGGAGCCCTGTCATACGGGAGCAAAATAACTTCCGCCCAACGTGGGGCTCGAACCCACGACCCTGGGATTAAGAGTCCCATGCTCTACCGACTGAGCTAGCCGGGCGCTGGTGAGCGCTCTCTCAGCACCTACTGTTCACCACATGACGAGAGCGCGTGTATCGATTCTAACACACTCCACCGCCCCGCTCACCGAGACCCCGCCTCCGGGGAGCGTCGATTGGCCAATGGAGCGGCCAATGGGATCGAACGTTGTTGGGCCGTCCGGAGCGCGAGCGAGGCCGGGGCGGGAGGGGGGCTGCGTGCGACCGAGGCGGCGCCGCCATGAGCTCCATCGGCACCGGGGTGAGCGCGGGCCGCGCGGCGGCGTGGGGCGGCTCCGGGCAGTCGGGGCGGCGGTTGGTTGATTCCCCTCGGCTGGGCCGGAGCGGGGCTGCGGCCGCTGCTGAGTCACCGCGGCCCGTTAGGCCGAGCGGCGCGCCGCAGCGTGAGGGGTTGGAGCGGCTGCGGCTCGGCGCTCTGCTGGGCAGCGCCGCTGCCTTTGGCCGCGTGGAGCCCTGCGGTCGGCTGCTGGGCGCCTGCTGCCAGAATAACGGGCTGTGCCGCGGGTTTGCTCAGCAATGCTTTTTCTTCTTCAGTACGACCTGTCGGCCTCCACCTTTTCTCCCGACGGCAGGGTGTTCCAGGTCGAATACGCGATGAAGGCGGTGGAGAACAGCAGGTAGGACGTGGCTGCGTTGCTCTTTGTGAGTTGGCCTTTTTCAAAGCAGCTGGTGGCTTTGCGGGTGGTACTCGTTGAACGACGGTGTCCCTGCCCTCAGTTTGGGAGGCTTCTAATAGGGTAAAAACGGTGCGATGGTTTCTGCCTGCTTTGTTGTGGAGAACGCAAAGCAAGGCTGTAAGCTTACCCTGTGTGATCAGGTAATAAGTCACAGGCTGTGGGACAAGGCTGGACTGCAGACGTCATTAGTGTGTATAAAGTGCTGAGCTGCTGGGGGAGCAGAGCTGTCAGAGTACCTAAGAACTCGTTTTGTGGGTGTGAATTGAGGCACTGAAAGGCTGATGGGCTCAGAAAGAAATCAGTGCTCACTTTGGTGTTTCAGGTCAGGGCACTGCAGGGGCAGTGGCTCTGCAGTTCCTACAGACACTGCATGCATTCTGTCCTCAGTTCTTTGGGTAAGGGCTCCTCAGCCTCTTCCACCTTTGAAAATGCGTTTATTTGCTTACTGTGCACCCCGCTTTGTTTTCTTTGGGCACGAAGTGGAGCGTTGTAACAGGCCTACTTGGGTGGAAATTATGTCATTGTGTCATTTGATCACTGGTTGCCAACCCTGCCCACACAGGGCTGGAGCTCAGTGACCTTTAAAGTCCCTTCCAACCTAAGCCACTCTATGATTCTATCCAGAATTGTATTAATTCTTCGTTACTTATCTTCACAGTTCTATTCTGTGTAAGAGGAATTTCCCTTTGTCTTGTCTTTCAGTACAGCAATCGGGATAAGATGTAAAGATGGTGTTGTCTTCGGTGTAGAAAAACTCGTTCTGTCCAAGCTGTATGAAGAGGGTTCCAATAAACGCCTCTTCAACGTCGATCGGCACGTTGGAATGGTGAGGTGCTCTTAATTCTTCATGGAAAAGGGCTTCCTATTCCAAAGTGGAAATGCACAGAGCTCAGAATCGATAATAAAGAGGTTGTGGAAGCTGTGTTAGGCTTTCTGTGCATGTAGAAATGCCACTGGGTTGGTTGTTTGGTTTTTGTTTTTTGGGCTATTTTCCTGCAGTTCTTCTTGATTGCACACACACACAGGATTCCAGACTTAAAACAGAAGATCAGCACGTGTTCTGAAGCTGTCTAAAACTTTCTGGGAGCTGCTCAGATTGTTTTGGTTATTAATTTTCCTAGACAAAAACTCAAAACTCTATTAGCATCAAATCATTGACGTGTTGTAAGCTGGCTAGCAGGAAGTTGATGGAACTCGTCTGTAAGGATTAAGCCATGAGATTAGGCTATTTGGACTGTGATGGCAATTCTCCTTTCAGGCAGTGGCAGGACTGCTGGCAGATGCTCGTTCGCTGGCAGACATAGCTAGAGAAGAAGCTTCTAACTTCAGGACTAACTATGGCTATGATATTCCACTGAAGGTAAGAAATCGGCACGGTTCACTCGGAGTTTTTGGCTTTCTTAATCTTGGCACTGGTAACCTCAAGTTACAACCCGTAATGAACTTATTTCTGCAAATAAAGGCCTGCAATTATGTTTCTTTTTCCCCTTAGCATCTTGCAGACAGAGTGGCCATGTACGTGCATGCATACACACTGTACAGCGCTGTCAGACCTTTTGGTTGCAGGTAGGTCTGTGGCAGGGGGTTGGAGATTTATGATCCTTGAGGTCCCTTCCAGCCTAGGCCATTCTGTGACAGCTCTTTCCAACGCCTGCTTGTTTGCAAAGATCTTTTGTTTCAGAAGTGCTGGAGCTACTTCTGTTTCCTAAAAGCCTTTTTCAAATTTGATACTGGTGACCGGGGAGTGGAAAGAGGTTCCCCTGTCCTTTTTTTTGTATGTGTGTGAAGCTTTAGGTGAAAAATCTATGTATGCATAAGAGCAAACCCTGCTCTGTATAGACTGCATGCCTGTCCCTCAGGTTTAAAGCTGAGGAGTTGAATCTGTGTCAGTACTGAAAGCAGAACTTGTCTCTGTGGTCGTCCCCTAAAGAATAAGTAATAACTGCCATGCAGCTGGAGTACCAAAGGACGATTAAACTGAGGTCTGCTGTTTAGTTATAGTTAAGTAAAATGTTTCTGGCAAATTGCAGGTCCTTAGGTGTCAAAGTAACACTGAGCCTTCAGACAGACTGCTTACAGAACGTAGTAGGGGTTATGCACAGAGTGAAGGAATCCTGACTTGATTCAGCTGTCGTCATGTTGTGTGGGTTGGGAGAACAACTGTTTGATTTCACTTTTTCTCACCCAGTTTCATGTTGGGGTCCTACGATGAAGATGACGGTGCACAACTGTACATGATTGATCCATCAGGAGTTTCATACGTGAGTTTTTCAGAAATATTTGTCTTTAAGTTGGTCTTTTAAAAGTTTGTAATTTGGAAATCAGTAGCACGGTGTGTATTTTTTACATTGTAAGCACATAAAACCTGTATTTAAAGCTGGTCTTTAAGAAATCTGGGAGTTCATTCCACCTGGCTGCATGCAATGAAAAGTCCCATCCGTTGCAGCCCAGAAGGCCAACTGTGTTCTGGGCTGCATTAAAAAAGGAGCAGCCAGCAGGGAGAGGGAGATGATTGTCCCCCTCTACTCAGCTCTTGTGAGGCCCCATCTGCAGGGCTGCATCCAGGCCTGGGGCCCATAGTACAGGAAGGATGTGGAGCTCTTGGAGCGGGTCCAGAGGAGGGCACTGAGATGATCAGAGGGCTGGAGCACCTCTGCTATGAGGAAAGGTTGAGGGAACTGGGCTTGTTTAGCTTGGAGGAGAGAAGGCTCTGGGGAGACCTCACTGTGGCCTTCCAGTACTTGAAAAGTGTATAAACAGGAGGGGAACGGCTGTTTGTGAGGGTGGATGGTGATAGGACAAGGGGGAATAGTTTTAAACTGAGACAGGGGAGTTTAGATTGGATATGAGGAGGAAGTTTTTCCCCCAGAGGGTGGTGAGGCACTGGCACAGGTTGCCCAAGGAGGCTGTGGATGCCCCATCCCTGCAGGCATTCAAGGCCAGGCTGGATGTGGCTCTGGGCAGCCTGGGCTGCTGGTTGGTGACCTGCACACAGCAGGGGGTTGGAGCTGGGTGAGCACTGTGCTCCTTTGCAACCCAGGCCATTCTATGATTGCCAAGAGATGTGAGTATTGCAGTGATGCTCCACTCACAAAATACTGAGGTACAGAGGTTCAGACGAAGGCTGCTAACAGCAATTCAATTCAAAGGAGACATTTCTGTTTGTTGTTATGTATAAAGTGATACAAACACACTCGTCTGCTTTTATTTTTTTCCTTTCAATACATCTAATGTCTCTACTATTGGAAGTGCTGAGTTTGTGTGCTTACACTTCAAAGTATTTTCATGATAGGTGGGATTTTGTGTCGGTTTTCTCTTTGTACACGTTTGTTATAGAACTTTTCTAATTCTAGTTTCTTTTAATTATAGCAAAAGATCCATTGCAGCAAACTGTGCAGATACGTTTCTGCACGGAGGAACTACTGAGCACTGCTGTCAAGGGTGGCAGTGCCTCAACTGCTAACTTGGGGATCTTGTCTGAGAGAGAACAGCACCAATGTCTGCTGTGTATCTGCCTTCTTGTTACAGGAGGGATGGAGTCATTATATGCTGTGTAACAGTAAGAAAGGATTTGTTTTCCATTCACCTTGCACCTCTTCTGTTTCATTTTTTTAGGGTTATTGGGGCTGTGCCATCGGTAAAGCCAGGCAGGCTGCAAAAACAGAGATTGAAAAACTTCAGGTATGGTGTTTCAGTTTTATTGTGCTGCTTTCAGGACAGATATTTCTACATCACATTATTACCTTTTTGGATGCCTTAAATATATAAAGTACAAGAGAAGCTGAAGTATTTCCTCCTAAGTTGTCTTAAGTTCTATGGTAGCAGTATTTCTGGCATCTTGACCCTGGACAATGGGTAGTCCTTGGCAAGCACACACTTTTAAACAGGGAAGCACAAACATGCACTCCTTTGTATACTCTACATTGTATACTCTGCTTGCCCCTTACAGCTTTCACCTACAAACGTACACCACAGCTGTGCACTCCAGTGAACTTCCATTGGTGGTGGTGAAGTATCACAGCTGAAAAATTACAAGAGAGGTGAAAAGTCTCAGATAATTTAAGTCTTGAATCTGGTCAGAAGTTTGAACACCAAATGAAAAGTAGGAATCCTGCAAGATCATCTGATCTTGATACTGGAATCTTGGCATCTGAGAAGTTGTTGTTTCCATTTCCATGTGTGCAAAGTGATATAAAGATGTTATGTTGGGTAATGTCTGATTTACCAAAAAATGTTTTCTCTGCAGTTCTTAGATTTTCAAAAGCTTTTTATTGCCTAATTTTTTTGTAGAGCTGTAGAATTTATATTCCTTGAACTTCATAGTAGGATCTGTAAAGCTCAGTAGATGAGAACAGGGGTGTGCCATGCAGCACAGCTGCACTGTTCTGTCACGGCTTGTTTGCAGGATGCCTTCAGTGTGATGTGGTCAGAGCAGCACGAAGCAAGTGCAGTCTTGTGTGCTGATGCTTCTCGTTAACTGTGGGCTGGACAGGTTCCAGCTCAGAGCTGATTCTGTTCAGGTGAATTTCTGATCAAATGACAAAATGTAAATGGGAAGAAGACAAGAAGTACAAACGCTTTTGTGGAGTTGATGATGACTGTTTGTGAGGGTGAAGAGTGGTAGGACAAGGGGGAATGATTTTAAATTGAGACAGGGAGGTTTGGGTTGGATGTTAGGAGGAAGTTTTTCTCCCAGAGGGTGGTGAGGCACTGGCACAGGTTGCCCAAGGAGGCTGTGGATGCCCCATCCCTGCAGGCATTCAAGGCCAGGCTGGATGTGGCTCTGGGCAGCCTGGGCTGCTGGTTGGCGACCTGCACACAGCAGGGGGTTGGAGCTGGATGAGCACTGTGCTCCTGTGCAACCCAGGCCATTCTAGGATTCTATGATTCTATGATGTGGCCTATAGCAGCCTATTAGCTACAGTTCTGTCCTGTGAAATGTGACTGTATATGGGAAGAAAGAGGTGAGAATATCATCATAACCTTGAAACCTGTCTGACAGGTACTGCAGTGCAGATGCTGGATGTGGGAGGGGATGCAGTACATGAAACCTGCAAATGTAGCTTATCCTGCAAGTGGGGCATGCTGCACTGATCACGTCTGTTGCATGTCATGCAAACATTTGACATCTTGTGTCATGTGGAGTGTACTTGGATCTTTTCATGTCCTCTACAGTGCTGCTCACGTGATTTTCAGATACTATTTAAAGCTTTTTGATGTATGGACATAATCAAAATTGGTTGGATTTTGTGTTGAGGGACATGGCTCAGTGAGTGCTACTGGTGACAGGTGGATGGTTGGACTGGATGATCTTGAAGGTCTTTTCCAACCTTGGTGATTCTGTGATAATTACAATCAATTTCTGAGACAAACCATTACAGTATGTCCTATTACTTCCTGCAAAATTAACTGGGATGGGCAAAGAATAACAAAAAAAGATAAAGCTTTGTTTTGTGCATGACAGTAGCAGACCTTTGGGTTTTCCTGTTCCACTACCATCTTTGTGTGTGTAAATACACACAGCTGTGTTTGTGTGACACAAATTACACTTGTCAGCAGAAGTCAGTGCTGCGTTATGGATTGAGCCACAAGTGGAAGGGCTGGGACAGTGTGTCTCTGTCTATTTAGGAAACTTCTTGGAATGCAAATGTGACAGCACATCTACCTAAGCAGGCACGTTTCATTTTCCTCTGGCCCATTGCTTGCTTGGGTGTGTGCCTTACACGCATAGGAAGCACTGCCAGACTCAGCATGAAGAAAGAGCTGCTGTCCTTGGCCAGCTTCTCCACACCAACTTCCTCACTATGGCTTTGAAAACTGGTTGAGAATCTGAGATGGTAAACTACGTGTAGCTAATGAGTTTGACATGGTGTAAAATATGCTGCTCTAATCAGTAATGACAGATATGTTCTTGTGAGTGAAAGATGCATTGTAGAGAATGAATTCCATTGCACTCAAGCTCTTAGGCACGTCACAGTCACTTGTTTGCTTGCTAAATGCAAAACAGGATGCTCTGTTAAGCTGTATGTTTGTTGTCTGCAGATGAAGGAAATGACTTGCCGTGACGTTGTGAAGGAGGTTGCGAAAATGTAAGTCTCCAGTGTGCTTCTCCAACTCAGCAGAAATGTGTTCTGGTGAGCTTGTGGCTTCAAACTGAAACTGTTCCCTTGACGTTGGGTACCAGGTTTCACTTTTGTAGATGAGTGCTCATGCTGACTCTAGTTTGGTGTTAATGTTTGCCTTCTCAGATGGGACGTGCTGCTCAGCACTGAGAAATGACAAAAGATGGGAAAAATAAGCATTATAATCTTATTGCTCTGTGTTAGAGGTGTGATTTACAGCTGTGGTGAATTAATGCTTGAACTGTCTGAATGTGGTCACTGGTTTTCAAGTATATAAAGCTGGTGGTAGATGGGGGAGGCTCTTCAGTGTGTTGATCCTCATTAAGGTAGAATATAAGTTGGCCAGTAGTAATCGTGAAAATACTTGGAGGGAAGATTGAGGTTGGATGTCAGGGGGAAGTTCTTTGCTATGAGAGTGGTGAGGTGCTGGAACAGCTGCCCAGAGAGGCTGTGATGCCCCGTTCATCCCTGGAGGTGGTCAAGGCCAGGTTGGATGGGGCCCTGGGCAGCCTGGGCTGCTGTGAAATGGGGAGGTTGGTGGCCCTGCATTGGTGGGGGGTTGGAGCTTCGTGATCCTTGAGAGGTCCTTTCCAACCCGGGCCATTCTGTGATCTCTTCAGATAAATACAGGTATTCTTTCAGCTATCTGCAATACTTCATGTTTGCAGGGATACTTCTGCACTTGTCCCAAATCTAATAATATGCAGCTGCAGAAATAATTTTCAGCCTTTTATGGCTGTTCCTTGGAGGTTATAAAGAAGTAATAAATGTTTCCATCAATGGTGTTGCAGCATGCGAGTTTATTTCTGAGCCTGTGTCAGAGGCTATCATGTCACTGCTAAAGGAAAGAATGTGTGGGCTCTCTGTTCCTGAAACCTAACAAGGACCTCAAAACAATTCCGAAACCACAAATGAGGCACAGGCCTTCCAATGCTTACAGACCTTCTGTTCTTCAATTCTGCTTCAGCTCAAAACTTAGCAGCAATTTGGGGTAGTTCTGTTTTTTTTTTAATAAATCTTAAGCCTAGCCCTGGCATCGCTCAGCAAATATTTTAATCATTTCTTAATCCTAAAGCAAAGGCCAGCAGCTATTACAAGCTCTTGAAGAAATCATATTGCTGCTGAAAAGCCTGCAAACGGCTTAGCACTTCACAAACACCTGTAGGTGGACCTAATCATCATCAAGTCTAGTCTTAACAGTGACAGAGTATGCATACAGCGTTTCTTTGGACACGTTTCACAAGACCTTTATCAAACATGAATGAAAAGCATCTGCTTTTTCAGTGAAGGTGTCCTTCCTTCTGCTGTCCCCAAACTTCCTATGCTGGCTAGAAGTAGTTTTGTGTATGTAGCTTTGGTCTTTTTGAGGGAATACTACCTCAACAAAGAAGGCTGTAAGTTGTAGGCATAGCAGGCAGGATGAAGATCTCTGTGTTGCACATCAGAAGATGTTATGGTATTCAGATTCACTCCCAAGTATAAGATAAAGTAAGATTTACAAGGGCAATGCAGGGTGTTCCTGCTGTAAAGGTGATGTTCTCAATAGGGTTATTCAGCATCTCACCTACATGGGTAACTTGCATCTCATCTGTAGTCATGCAATATCCTGTTTCAGCAATGCTCACCTCCACAGTATTCTCTGATGTAGTTTTTTCTCTTGGAATGGCATGAACACAAAGGAGAGTTTGAGGATAAAGCAGGGGGAAGCTTCTATTGCATGTAAGAAATGGTGTTTCAAAAAGAGTAAGAAATCTGCAAAAGGAAGAAAGTAGATTTTGCCTGTCACCAAATCTGTTCTAACCTCTACCCTCTGCATTCTTTCCAGAATCTACATCGTTCACGATGAAGTAAAGGACAAAGCTTTTGAGTTGGAACTCAGCTGGGTTGGAGAAAGTAATGCACTTCTAAATGTCTATAAACATCCTAGGAAGCTTCTCATTGTCTGTATTTAAGAGAACATAGAGAAGCAATGTTTTATTATCACAGTGTTGTGTGAATTCTGTCTAATAGGTACTCTTTTTATTTGCAGTAACCAATGGAAAACATGAAATTGTTCCCAAAGACATAAGGGAAGAAGCAGAAAAATATGCCAAGGTAAGGTCTGACATCACTGATGTCATCTCAGTGCTGCTCTTGACAAATCTGGAATAGAATGAAGTAAGGAGCAGGATTGTAGCATTGCAATGACTAGAGAAGTGTAGCTGCACAAATCACCTGTACCTGGGATATCTCCTGACGAGAGAACTGTGAAGCTCTCTCCATGCAATCCAGAGATGGTTCATTATTAAATACACTGCATGGCAGCAGGCTTGCCCATCTCATTTCTCCTTCAGCAATGAATGTATGAGCTCTTCAGTAGTTACAGAAGTGAATGGGAAATGCAGCAAGTCATGTTAACCAAAATACCTTTTATAAGGGCAACCAACTAGAAAAAGCTGCTCCTCAAGCATCTGCCAGCTTTGCATTTGCTTTAAAGGCAGTATATATTCTTAAGTAGAAACCAGGCCTGCTGAATAGCAGCCTTTGTACGTGTGGAAAAAAACTGTAAAACAACAGCAAAACTCCCTTTTTTAATTAAACTTTTTTTTCTAAATAGGAATCTTTGAAAGAGGAGGATGAATCAGATGATGAGAATATGTAACACATTGTTACTTCAAGACAAGTTTGACTTAGTACAGGTTTGTTTATAATGGATTAACCATGGGATGCTCCTATGTACTGCTGGAGGAAACTGAGTGACCAACTTGCACTAATAAATTTTCCATTTTACTGTCTGTTAGCTTTTATTTCAAAGTAAGAATGCATCTGTATTCTAAACTGCACTATATATCAAAATGGTCATTAGAGGGGAAGATGTGCTCATGCTGCTGTAGCTGCTGCTTGCCACAGCAGAACTTTTGAACCAGGCTGGTCACAGGAAGGGCAGCTGCTTAGGAAGCTTACAGGTCTCTTGTTTACTGGCTTAACCAGCCAGTGTCACAGCTCAGTTGTCACAGCAGCAGCTTCCAGTTCTCTCTCCAGGCAGAGGAGAAAAGCAGCTCCTTTACAGCTTGATCTGCTATCAGTTTAGGTGACACATGCAGCTGACAACTTCAACCAGCCTCCAGAAAAACACTGTAATTTGGAGTATTAAGCCCCAAATGGGACTAATGAAAACTAATTCCAAGTAGTCCTTGTGTTAACTTGCAGAGCTGAACTGTTTGCTTTTTGCTGTTTTATTCCAGTTTTATAACTTAACAGATCTCAGCTTTACATTTATTAACACTGTAGTTCTGTAAATCAGTTCTGAATCCATTGTTGGCCTTCCTAGGAGCTAAAAATCATCTCTCGTGGTTTCTCTTCCTGGTCCTTAGGCAAATAGACAGCATTTAGCCCCAAGAAGTCACTTACAAATCTTGAAACAAGGTACCAAATTCATCTGGTTACCACTTCAAAAATCAAAACAGAGGTGTTGTGTGCATACCTAAAATTCTAATGGTCATCTTTAGTCTGAAATGCATGCTTTCCTAACAGATCAAACGTTCAGTAGTACTTACTATTAGTAAAGACCAGCCCTTTAAAAAAAACAAAACCTCCCTCCCTTCAGTTTTAATAGTCTTTGTACTTTTAAAAAGCTCTGCAGTCTCTTTTCTATTGGCATTACAGGATGCAGGTTCTGTTTCTTTTTGGTGGCAAGGTAAAGGAAATGCAGATAGATGGCTCTGTGTCATTGCTTAATGCCAGTCTCAGGCTTAAGCCTGGGCTAGAGTCAAGCCACGTGGAACCCTTGCCTTTCCAGCTTTTAGCACAGCTGTCAAATTGCTACAACTCTATCAGGCCTCAGTGAAGTAGATTAATCATGACTGATGAACAGCTTCCTCGAGTGCTGTCACCTGAGGCAACAGTATAGTGATACATAAACCTGAACCTGAGTCAGGCTGAGTTTTGTGTTGCATTCAGTCTGAATTTACTACTAAAGCTTATTGCCAGTTTGGCTCTTCTGAGTCAGTGAAATCCAGTCAGTAAACTTATCTCAGCCTGAAGCACGTGCTGAGGACTGCTCTTCCACTTGCTTTAATGCAACAACGTGATTGTAAACCTAAAACCTTGCTGATAAGCTGTAAGTGAAAATAAAGATCTATCCCTACAAGCAGCCACACCCTTCTAATCCTTTCAGAGCCATTTAGGACTGGGTTCAGGAAACGTAACAGTCTTACAAGCCATGTTACTGGGTTAAGAGAGAAGGGCAAGTCTAGCTGTAATTACAGATACTTCCTTACCCTTCAGGCTTAAACAGTATCTAGGAGTCAGACTTAAAAGCTCAACAGCTGACCAGGTACCTGAAAGCTTCCATCAGATTCCTGTAGCTTCACACCCAGGGCAAGGCTGACAAAGTACAGGTGCAGAGAGGAAGGCCTGGAAGAGCTGTTACCCAAGGCAGAGTAGCCACACACTCCCATCTTTTAACATGCCAAGTGACTGGGGCAACCAAACCAGTGCCCCTGTTCAGAGCTGACTGGAACAGATGCAGGCTCAGTGATAAACTCAACAGGCCTAACAGCAGCAGCCTGTAACAGTGGCCTCTGAAGACTCCCAGAACCAGCTGAACCAGCAATGCCTCCCTGCAGAAATAAGGTCTCAATCCCCCTCTCTGAAGAAAGGAGCTTCTATGGTTGGCCTGGAAATGGTTGTTTTTAAGTTGGGTTTAACAGTGAGATGCAAGAGTATACTGCAAGGACAATGAACATGCCCTCAGTAAGGCAGAAGATTTCTGAATCTCTGATTTCAGCAAGAGGTGATTCCTATCATTCATTTTTATTATTCCTGACAAGAGTACTGGGAGGTTTTAGTTTTGAAGATACCAGAAAGGCATAATTTGCCCATACCACGGCAGCACTTCTCACTTCAGGCTTAACAAGTAACCTACTTAGTCTGGGCTCTGGCCATTTATGGGAATACATAATAGAACACAAAGTCACATACCCACTTGGAATGCACAACTGCAGTTCTTGCCATGCTGGAACACAACTTCAAAGTATTAAAGGCAAATACCATTGCTTGAGATCTAAGTTCATGCTCTAATGGAACACAAGAAAGCTGGTCTATACAATTGTTTATCTCTTAGCTTAAAGTCATCCTTCCGTTCCACCACAGAAAGGGTTAGAAATGCACAGATCCAACAAAGAAGGGTAGAACGTACATGAGAATCCTTTTTCTCCCAAGTCTCACTCACCCACTGATAGCTATTCAGCAGCTGATGAATCACTGCTGCTGTGATGTACAGCTAGGAATGCCGCAGTCCCTGTTGCAGTCACTGTGTCCACACACAGAGGCGTTGCTCTAGAAAATTAAGGGGACTAAGGTGAACCTCAGGTGCCAAGTTTATACATACTCCCATATCTAGTTTACATTTATCTCCATGACTCTTTTTAGGACTTGCAGCTGTGCTTGCAGTGTTCAAAAAAACAAATTGCATTTAAACTGCAGCATCAGAGTAATCCATTTCCATGGACTGCACTGTTTTCACAAGATTTTGAATAACATCTTCATTCCAAGTTTTGTTACTACTGATTAAATTGCTTTAAGATTGAGCTGTTGGAATATCACAGAAACAACCCACGTGTCAAGTTTCTGTTATGACAGATAAACACAAGGATAGCTCCACAATAAATACTACTCATCTGTAGTTGGTGCTGACTCAGAAAGGAAGCAGTTCAAACAATTCCAAGCAGGCCTGAGCTATGCCAGGCATCGGGTCATTTATCACTTCTCATAACCATAGATAGCATGATGGCCTAATGTTAAATCCCCCCTTCCCTGCATGTTCCACTGCCCACGTGGGTCCAATAATAGGTGAGATGCTATTTGGCCCACAGCCCTGGTCATCTCTAAGGAAGGGGCTTTGATAGCACTGCACATGGTAGTGCTTTTCCTTAGCACTTAACTGTTAGCAATGCAAAGGTACAGAAAACAGTGAGCTGCTTAAGATACATCACTGAATGGTAACCATAAGCCAGAATTTCAGGACTGAAGATAAACGTAGGATTTTGAGTGCATAACACCACCAAACACAGCAAAGAGATCATTCTCTTCCCCTCCTCTTTCTGTTGCACACCTCTAAGATGATGACTAGTTTTTACTCCACACACCAGTTTTTCAAGTTATGTGCAGTAAGGAAGTTACCTTTACCTAACAATTGACAGCTATTTTGAGACATTTACTGCCTCTGCCTTTCCCTATTAGATAAGCTTGCCATCCCTTATTTCCAGTGACACAGAGCTGCAGGGAACAGGCTGTAGAAGAGGTAAGAGTGGAGCCTTACTGCCATGCGTTTACCAGACAGACAGTATTGGAGAACACAGGATCTACAACTGAGCTCAAAGCCAGTCTCTCATTTCCAGATGCAGTGCTCTTTCATCTTCATACCGCTATTAAAGGACTCTGAAGCAGTTGTTTAAAAATGGTTCTTAGGATTGCTGTGCAAACCAAAAATGGACAACCAGAATAAAGCAGACAGCAGCCTTGCATAGTTTGTAGTCCAAACACATGTCATCAGATACAAGGAAAAGTTAAATCCTCTGAAGTTTCTCCTAAAGGTAGTATAAGAACTACCCACAAAAGATACCATTTTAATTGACGTGGTAAGACAAGCCCAATAAAAGGTTAGATAAAACATGGGGTGGTTTACTTTTGCATAAAATTAGACCACATTTCATGACACGTACAGGCTGCAAGTCCAAAAATCACTCAGATTCCTCTTTCAACAACAGATTTTGCTAACAGTAGGTTAAGCTATAGTAAATTCACAGAAACAGCTACATCCCAAACACACATACAGAAAAAGAAAAACCAAATCAGTAATTCCTAAATTAAAGCCAGAAAAAAAAATTGAAAGTAAAACCATGTCCTTTCTGCAAGATTTTCAGAAAAGCAGAAATCTGCTGCTTTTGATATTTGGGACAAGACTGAGACACATTAACAGGTTTCAGCAAACACTGGATGACTTCAACAGCATGCTTACACAGGAGCACCATTTCAGCTCTCATTCCATGCATATCCACACTCTGCAAACAGTGCCACTTTTAGAAGCTCTTTATCCCCCCAAATTCATTCCTATATGTTTCAGGAATAGAAGAAATCTGAAACACTGTCTCAGGAAGTGAAATCAAAGCAGAGCTTCATGTGTTCCCAGTAGGAAAGTCAGTTTAACAAGCAGCTACATTCCCCAGCCAAATGAGAGTTGAAACGATACTCTCATACCAGTTTGTCATCCCATTTTGCTGCATGCAAGGAAGAAACTGCTGCCCCCTAATAAAAGATGCCTTCCATAGATTCAGAATAGTTAAAACTTGCTAAGACGACGTGTATTTTGTTCTGGAAATCAACAGAACACAGCTTATAGCAGTGGCTCTGTTTGCAGTGCAGCTGTACTAGCAGTGCACCACACAGTGCTCCTGACAGGATAAAACACAACAAAAAAAGAACCCACAGCCCTGAAAATACAAACCTCCTGTGAGTGGTGCAGGCTTGCAACTAATTGACAGCTTAGAGGTGCTAACACAGTGCCAGCTGGTCACGACTTCCCAAGCAGGCAGGGAATTCGCTACCTGTAATAACAGCCAGCAAAAAAACTGCAGAAATAAAAAGTTTTAAAAGAAGGCTTAGATGTAGGAAAGAATTCAGATGCAGTCACCAACTAAGCTGTAAATTCTTGCTAACGGCACCTGTTTGTAGCTAATAACATTTAAATCAGAAGACTGAGGGCATTAATGCCTTCACAAATAATCAATACTGATGACCTGCAGTCTTGTTGGCTGAGGCTGAAAATTAACTGTAAGTGACTGACTTAATTTAGACAAGCAAAAGCCCTAGAAGAAAGAACATAACTACTGTCCTCACAAGTTTTCTTTTGCTGAACATCCTTGCTTGCAGAGGTAGTTTTGCTTCCTTGTGCATGGCTGCATGCTAATAGTGACACACACATTGCTTTCAGCAGGCTGCGTCTCTGCCCACGTTCAGCTGGGTGATGCTGTCCTACAACCTCTGCAATCCATGATTTTAATTAACAGCTTATCAGCACCAACAAGCTTGAAAGTGACAGCTGTGCTGGTGGGCAGCCCATGTCCAAAGACTCAGCATCAGCATTAGAACAGTATTTTCTTTCTCTACAAATAGGGAAATATGCACCTTCTTGAAATCCATTGTGAGCAAGTCAGTTATCAGTGTCTTAAAAGCCTGTGTATATGAAATCATGGCTCTAATCTCTATACTTTTCCTTCCATACTTTTTAAACATAGCTATTTCTGCAAGTATTACAAGGGAAAAAAGCCTTCCAGACACCAGCAACAGGTAGCATAAGCAAGGACTTTACAAAATGCCCACCAGAAATCACTCAGAACATTACTTTTAAACAAGACAGTAGAAAACCCACTGCTCTGAATCTTCTAACACAAGTACTGAGAAAATAATACAAGTGAAGTTGCTTTTTCAAAAAAAGAAACAACTGATTGTAGTTCTCCAATTGGCATCAGTGAACACCTTAGATAGGAACAGCATTAGGCAACCACTCAGTGTAATGCACACCTGAGCTGTATCACAGCTTTCCTGCAGGATAACAGTAGTGCTGCACTGCTGCTTTCCAGCAGTGCACTGAGGACAGAAGATCTGCACCCACTTCCCTAGTATGGTTGTAACAGCCTCACTGTTGTCATCAAAGGAAATGCGTGGTCATGACAAGTAATGCAGGAAATTAAACAGATCTGTAATTAGACCCTTTGCTAGGCAAACTTTTACATGCAGATACTTTAACAGAGCACGACAAAGTATGCAAAAACTGGCTTTAAAATCCAATGTTTGGTCAACTTGAGTAATGGGCACCCATCCACAGCTGCTCTCGTAACAGAAAATTCCACACCAGGAAAAATAGTCTCCGAATACAGCTCTCATTATGCCCAACCATAAGAATACCATATCAATCTTTAATTTAAAAAAAAAAAAGATAATGTTTATGTCTGGAATTAAAAGATAGCATGGCAAATACCCAAACATCTCCCCTGGGTTAACACGGGCTAGGATGAGAGCAGCAGTTCTATCAGCTGAGAACTGAAACTTCTCTCGCATGAGGCTGCTACTAACAGTTCAGTTGGTGCACTGCTAGTTCCTGTCTTACAGCACACAGAACTGTAGTTAGGAACTGCAGCAGGACTGGATGTCATCTATTCAGTAAGAGGGGGACTGCTCCTCCCTGGAGGTCTCCCAAAAGCTCCACCAAGAGCTACTCAGACAAGCTAAGCATGCATTATCATTTCAGCCATGTTAGTGGAAGAAGCAACAACAGTGAGCACTACTGTCGTGTGCAGAGCTAACAGAAAACTTGGCTGTCCTCAATATAAGGATGTGGCTCTGGGCAGCCTGGTCTGCAACCCTGCACATAGCAGGGGGATTGAAACTGGATGAGCATCGTGGTCTTTTTCAAACCAGGCCATTCTATGACTCTATGAAATATCAATGCATTACTACACTGCTGCAAAACATACCCATACCTGCTTTAGAAAGCTACTAGTAAAATTCAGGGAATAAAATGCACTAATTCAGGTTTCTTAAGGGTTACTACACTTTCTCCAGCAACGCTCCATGAAGTGCCTGAAGCAGCATGCAGTTACATTTGAATAACAGCAGCCATTTTTCTGAACACAAAGACTGGAATATGATGACAGTGCTGGGGAAAGTGAGAAATAAACAGGAATACTTTTTGCTTGTTTTTAAAATACACACTTTTTATAGCTATCTCTATTTGTATGTAAATAAAAAAAACACGAAGAAACTTATTGTCAAGGGTCAGCAGTAAAAGCACTGACTAAGAAAGAAGATTTAACCAACCTTTCATTTTTATAATCTTGCTGACCAAACTTTCTGTTGCCAACTCCACATTTCTTGGGTTTTGTTGTTTTTTTCCCTTTATGCTGGAGTACTAAAGACTTCACAACCACCTGACACACTGCTATGAGCAGACTGCAAAGAGTGAGATAGTAAAGTTCCATAGCAAGCACGCACCTGACGTTCATCTATATGGAAACAGCAGTTCATGCAGACATTCTGCATGCAGATGTTTGTTCAGCCAACACTGGAAATATATTGCATATTTACTGACAGAACATAAACAGCAAGGGGAAGAATACCTGAAGAGGCCGAAGTAAACACTAGAAACAGGAAATAAAAGAAACATGAGGTCTATACTTCTGAAGTCTGACAAAGTAACACAGAGCTCCACGTTAGAACAAGAATTGCAGTTTTTCATACTTTTAATATTCAGTAATAAGTTATGAGACAAACTGAAATATTAGTTTTGGAAAGATGACAAAGCAGCTGATGACAGAGCAGCTCCCAACAGGAAATTCTGCTGCTCATTTTCTCCACTCGTGACAAACTTTTCCCTGTAGGAGATCACATTCTGCAGGAAGAAGCACAACTGCAAGGATCCGATATAGACAAGCTACATTTAATGCCCAGAAAAATTTAACACTGACATGCAGTGTTTCAGCATCAGAGTGCAATCCTGAGTTCTGAAGCTCACGTTTCAATGAAAAGTTATTTTAAACCAAAATTAGAAGTAGTGCCTGGCTTGCCAAGAGTACAACTTTTTCATTCCATTACAGCAAACGTCATGCCCAAGTCATACGTGAATGTTTACGCTACTTGGTGTGCTGCTTAGCTTGACATTCTTAGGTACTTTAAATGCCTTAAAAGAACAAGTCACTTCTCCTGCTGACTTACTATGCAGAGAACAAAGTAATCCTTTTGCTCATAGTAGTTAGATGAGTGATGTGCCAAGAACTTCCTGTGCCAAGAACAGCTACACCCAGACGGACAGAATTTTTCTGCTAGAAATCAGAAACAAGACTGATTAGTTTTGTCAGGAACTCTTATTTATTGAGTGGAACTCTATTTTACACAGAGGTGCAAAGCATGCCTCCAAAAATCATAGAACGATTCAACTATTACATCCCACAGAGATACCATAACTTGACATTCAAAGCAGGCTTTCTGAAGTTCTGAAGAGGAGCTACAAGACACAGTTTAGTGGCTTGTGGAAGCAAGGATAATGGGAGGACCGTTGAACTTAATCTCGTAGGTCCTTTCCAACCTTGTGCTTCTATGATTCTAAGTTTTACTAACTTACTTCACTAACTTCAACGTATTCTAAACAATTTCTTCTTCAGTTTATCCACAGCATCAACTACAACACAGAAGTTACGTCAGCATTCAAACAAGCACACCAAGCCTTTATACACACACACACTATACACATAATATTTACAGAGGAGATCTAAAAGCCAGAATGCCACAGCTGCGTTCACTTCCAAACATGTTAGAAGTGTCCCATCATCAACAGTAAGCATTATTGGTATGCATTAGCTTTACTACTACTTATCTATGCTATTACCTCCATAAAATCCCTACAGCAATCCCTTTGCACTTCCTAAAACACCAAATTTAATCAAAAAGAACACAGGTTTGAAGCGAGGTTTAACTTACAAACCAAGGTAGCTCCTTATTGCTTTCAAAAACTTCACAACCACATCCACAGGTCCTCTCAATGCAAAGATAAACAAATGAAAAATACATTTCGGAGCTGATAACGAGCTGCTGAAATCAGGTTCTCGTTACTTCGAGGAAAAACGAGGAAGCCGCACAGAGCTTAAACACAGATTAAGGTTTAGACACAAAGAAAAGAAGCAAAACTGCAGCTGAAGCCCCCAGATGGCTTCACAACAGCATCAGCACTGCCTGCGAGCAACGAGAGCCTCCGAAGCCTCCGAGCCCGCCGAACAGCGCAGCTCCACAGCAGGGCCGGGGCCTCTCCGCCTCCCACTGCGGGCTGACAGACCGAGCAATCCCCGGCACTCCCTACCTGACGCCTCAGCGCCTTCCCGGCCCCAGCGGTTCCGCCGAGCTCCGCCAGAGGGACCCTCCGTCACCGCTACACTTCCGGGGCCGGCCGGGCGCGCTCCGCCATCGCGGCCGAGCGGGAGCGACCGTCACCGCCATCACTCGAAGGGCCGTGAAGGCGAAGCGTCGCGCCGTCTCCTCGGAGCGCTGGAAAGAGCTCACCACCGCCGGGCTCGCCGCCTCAGTGAGGGTGCAGAGCTCAGCCCCGCCGCTGCCCACCCCGCGGGAAAGGCGCCGACCACTCCCGCCGCCTCCCCGCCGCGGCCTAAAATGGGAAAGCGCCTCACACAAAATGGCGCCGGGAGGCTGACCGCCGCGCATGCGCGTCGAGCGTCCCGGCCCGCCGCCGCCGCAGGACGCCATCTCCGCCCGCGCCCCCTCTCCGCTCTTCCTCTCGTCCCCGCCCCACCGCGTTTCTAAGAGACGGTTAGCGCCAATCGCGTCGCGCCGTTGCTCTTCCTGACCCCCGAGCTTGGCCAATCGACTCGTTCACAGCTACATCCGGATCCAGCTCTCACCAATCAGAGGCTCGGGAGCGCTGACTTCACTTCAACCGCCGCCAATCGACGGGCGCTCCAGCTAAAAGCCAATGAAAAGTCTCCGTGGCTCTACCTGCGTCCGTGGCTGTCCAATAGGTTCCGCCTGGCTCTCGGGGACCAATGGGGGTGCCGTCCGCGGCGCCCAATCCGGGCGGGGCAGAGCCCCCGGGGCGTCACGAGGGGGCCAATGAGAGTTCGAGGAGGACCGATTCTGCTCAACAGCTTGTTATTGGGCTCGTCGCTGGCGATCCGCTGCGAGTCCGGGCTGAGAGGAGGGGGCGGAGCGGGGCCGCGCTCAGCGCCGCCGCTCGCGGGGCTGTCGTCGTCGCGGAGGGAGACTGCGGCGCCGAGCCGGGCGCTGCCCACTTCGCTGCGACTTTCCAGGTAGGAAACGGTCGAGGGCGGCTCGGCAGCAGCAACTCCGCCGCCGTCCCGGGGGAGCGCCCGGCCCCGCGAGGGACGGCCTGGGGCTGAACGGAGTGGGACGGCCGCCTCTCCCTTCCCCCAACAGCGAAGCGGGCAGCGGGAACGGGGACTCCGAACTCCGCCTCCAAGCCGCTCGGCGCTCGCTCCCGTTCCCCTCAGCCCCGGGTGCGCGGTATGGTGGTGGTGGGGGGGAGGAGGGGGGGCGGTTTTCTCGTCCCGCTCCCCTCAGCCCCAACGCTGGCGGCCGAGGGGGGCGGGGAGGAGCGGCTCGGCGGGCCGCGGAAAGTTGCGAGGGCCGGGGAGGGGCGGGGAAGGCGGGAGGCAGGCCGGGCCCCGCCGCCCCTCCGTCAGGAGTTGCCGCCTCGGGGCCCTCCCCGCCCCGCAGCCGCCGCCGGGAGCGGGAGCAATGGCGACGTGACGCGCACCGAGCGGCCCGGGACGGGCGGAGGCTCCCGCCCGCCGCCCTCTGACGGCCGCAGACCCTCGGCCGATCCCGCTCTTGTGTTGCAGCGCTTCCCTGCCCGGCTGTGCGGCGAGGAGACGGCTCGGAGCTGGAATCCCTCACGTAACCGGGAAAAATGAAGGTACGAACTCTCTCTCTCTCTCCTTTTCCTTTCCTTGAGGTAACTTCGTTTTTCGCTGCTGTTTCAGCTGCAGTTGTCTGGAAACGCTCTGAGTTGCCGTCCTCGGAGTGCTGCCTTTAAATGCTTCCTGCATCAGCAGCTGCTATTGCAAGTTTGCAAAACCACAGCTTTTGTCCCGCCTGTGCTGCTGCTGGGTTGTTTTTTTTTTTATGCCAGTACAAAGACGGGGCAGTGCACAAAAGAGAGAGAAACTTTTCTTGCCTTCAATTAAACAGCAGCAAAGCAGTTCCTTAATGCTGTGCGTTGATTTCCTGTCCCGATGGACGTTTTGGCGTGCTGCTTCTGGCCTTGTTTACCGCTTCACACACGCCCAATAAAGTGAGGTTTGGAGTAATAAAGTCCAGATTAAGGAAAAGGTGAGGAGAAATAGTTCTTCCCCTTAACGAGGCGATTCAGCTTTCATAAAGGATTTCAAGAAAAACAACTGCTCACAGAGATGAGAGTAAATCTCTCTAGAGGTCTCCGTTTAGTCGGCAGGAGAAAAACTCCTATATATAGAATGGTATAGACGTAATTGTAGATATTGGTACGATAGCAGCCTCAAATTATCTGCCTCACCAAATTGGTTTCAACAGGAAAAAGTGCAGTTATCTTTTATGCTGCAGTTCTGCTGTTAAAAGATTTCCCTTCTTTAATTCTTTTGAGTTGTCATTTTTATTGATTATTATTACCTTTTTCATAATGAGGTGCTTTAATATGAGCTCAGCACCCCCAGAGCTATGCTGAGCATACCACGGAAAGTAATAAGGTGTTTTTTGGTTGGTCCTTTACATTGGGAGAGCAATTAGGCTGACAGAATCGGGGGTCAACCTCACTATGTGAAGCCAAACTTCCTGTAACTCGTTTCTTTACTTTTTTAAAGAGCAGTCTGAAGGTAGTTATGAATACAGACGTTGTTTGTCACGTAATGATCAAGAACTTCAGATGGAAAATCGAATGTGCGATGCTGTAGCTGTAAAAAGAACTAAGAACTAAACTTTGTTCCTGTTTTTTTTTGCTCCTCACTAGGCAGCAGATGAGCCTGCCTACCTGACAGTGGGAACGGATGTCAGTGCCAAGTACCGTGGTGCCTTCTGCGAGGCAAAGATTAAGACAGTGAAAAGGCTTGTGAAAGTCAAGGTAGTATGCTGTGGTTTGTGCTGGCTTTGTTAAAGCGCTGTGTTGAAAGAGCTGTCAGAGAAGATCAAAATCCTGAAGATAGGGAATGTTCATTGCTTTACTTTTTGACTTTTAAGAGCATTTGAATGTTTGTGCAGTTATTGTTTTCATGTTGTTATTTTTCCATATCTGTGTTCAGGAGGATGCTGAAACAGGACTGGGCTTAAACATTACCTGTCTATGCTGCTCAATTCCTGATCACAGTTGTCTCCTGTTTATGAATGCATCAGTTTCACAGCAGTCAGTTTTGAAGGTTCTCTTAGAGGCTTATGGCTTTACATGAGTAATAAGAGCAAACTCTTCAGAAGCAAAAATTCCCTTTCATTCCAACTGACAGTCAGTTTTACTTGAGAGGCTGTGCTATAATAAATCAACATAAGAACAAAAAAAAAAAAATGCAAAAGAACCTTTTTAGATCAGGTTTTTGAGATGTCCAGAAGAGTATTTGTTAGTTTCCAGCATCTTGCTGCTGCTTTCAAAGCAGCATGCAAAACTGTAGCTAAGTTCCTGTGCAAGCGTAGTACTGACACTTAATATTCATTTCTGTTTACAGGTCTTATGCCAAAACAAACAAAAATGAAGGTCATTATTTTACTGTTGCAGTTCTATTGTTCATGCTAATGTGGGAAAACAAGAGTCAAACCTAGTTAAATAAGAGTTAAGAATGCAAAGTAAATACAGAGCTTGGTTTGTTCCCTTGAGTCTTTCCACTTCTAGATAACTGTCCAGGATATGTAAACAAGGCATTAGTGACCCTCAAAACCTTGCTAAATAGAGATGAAAGCTTCTTTTTATAACTGTACATCTAAGTTTTCATATGCTTTAATGCTTAGATCAAGTAGAGCAAGCTGTCAGCCTCTTCAGTTACATAGGTGGAGCTCATTGCTTCTGTCAGAGTTCTTGTCATGGTTTAAAAAATCAAGCAATTCAGATCTTTCAGACTTTTCTCCTGTTCTTAGTGAGTACTGTTAGAAATTCGTGCCCTTCTTTGAAATCTGTGTGAATGAGTTGCTTCCTAGAAAGCAGCGTGCTGCCCTTCCTGAATTGACATCCTTCATTTTTCTTGTCTTTGGTCTGAGTATCTGAGCGTTAAGGCTGTTTGTAGATGTGTGCTTCTTTTTCTCTATCCAACGATGTGCTTTATTACTCCATGATCAAGACTTGTAGGTACACGAGGCTGCTCTGACTTGGTAACAATTCCTGTTGCTGTGTCTGAATTGTAAAAGAACAGTTGAAGTTGTAGCAATAAGCCTGATATTTTAATGAAGAGTGTGTGGGCACAGCCCAGTGTGCCTCCTAAGTCCAGAGGATCCATCAGGCTTTTCCTGAGTAGCAGGACGACTTGTATTCATCTCGATGCTGATAGAGAATTGTAAATAAAAACTAATTGAACCAGGTTATTATGAATTCATATTACTGCAGGGTGCATTTCAACATGCTACTGGCTTTTATAAATATAGCTGCAATGTAAATTGTGCTTATCTGATAAAGAGAGGGGAGCACAAAAACTGGACATCTTATTGGTGGAAAGGAAATTGCTTGGGTTTTTGATTCCTGAAAAAGGATAGGAATTTGGGAATTGTTGGTTAGTACATCCTGGGTACTCAGGTGGGTCTTTTTGCTATGAAAATGGCAGTGAAACAGCGTGCTAACATCTAAATATTCATCTTCTATGTTTCTGAGCTGAGTCTGTGCAAACTCAGGGATTCAGCTTGCACAGGCTTCTGTTCCTTCTGTGTCATGATGCTTACTCTCTCAAACACAGGATTTTAAAGGGAAAATTGTTTTACTTCCTCTTTTTCAACCCATCCTTATTTTAATCACGCTTTCAGTGGTTCGCATCTTTACCATAGAAACTTTCTCCCGTTCATGGTAGCAGCGGTGGTGGTGTGGTCTGTTCAGTGATTCCTCAGTAAGTTTTTTATACACAGAGCATTGTATTTTGATTGCAGTTCACTACTCAGTGTGTTGTCAACGAAGTGCTGTGGGTAAAGTAGAGAAAAAGCACGTGAATCATCTGATCTCTAGGCTGAGTTCCAGGTGTACCCTGGGGTGCATCAGTATCTAAACTCGCATTGAAAGCTTCAGTTCTTTTCATTGGAGCACCTGTTGTTTTATTTGCCCTCTTTGACTGTAGTGTTTCAGGATGAGTGTTCAGTGTGCTGCTTGGGCCTTCCTGTGAATAAGGCCATCTGTGCCGAGGGTTTTGCATTCACAGTAATGTTTGACTGTGTTTGATGGAGAAAAAGTTGATTTTCTGCATTTGCTACTTCTGTTCTTAGACTTTTCATATACCATTACAAATAAGGAATGCATAAACAAGTTTATGAATGTCTTTCAGGTGGTCCTGAAGGGGGATAACTCAACTCAGTTAGTTCAAGATGATCAAGTGAAAGGACCTCTAAGAGTATGTATATTGCATGCCTTTTATTGCTTTATCTCATAGTAAATCAACAGGAGGAGGCCCATTGCTTTTGGTTGGGTTGATTCTGAATAGTCCTAACTCCTGTAGTTTTTGGAGGCTCTTGTGTTCTCCATGTAGCATGCTTCATATGCCAACAGAACTGCACATGCTGCTTTTGAAACCTGTTATAAGCAACAGAGATCCTGATTCCACGAGGGTAATTTCAAACCTGTTAGACAGTAATAAACACGAGTGTTCTGAAAGTGTTTTTAAAGTAGTTTATGTATTTTATATAAAAATGCATGTTGATTTGTGTTTTTACAGGAGCTGAAAGTTGTCTGCTAAAACAGCTGCATTATAGAACACTGACTGCAAATTTTTAGAGATCATCTTTAGTAGTGCCTGCACAAACACTGCTGTGTGTTAGTCTGATCTAGCTGATGGTACAACAATAAAGAATAATGTTAGAAGTGTTTTAAAGTGTAAGGAACATTGGTAACACACATCAACAGTGAAATACGAGTTACTTTGAATAATTGAATACTTATTTCCAATTAGCCTTGTACTATTTCTTGTTACGGAATAAGCCGTGCTGAAATTAGTTGTCCCAAGATCCTTACTGCTTTATTGTTTAACCAGAGTTCATCTTAAGAACCTTTGTTCTTACCAGCTATGCAACTACATTTCACAAAGTAACGTTTAGCTAAAATGAATCTTCAACATTATCAAAATAAAATCCTGCCTTACTAGAAGAATTAATGCTTTTGTGAGTTCTGTCTCTTTCATTTGAGTTCTGGATTATGTGTAACCTTGGGATACCCCTTTTTGCAGGTTGGTGCCATGGTTGAAACCAAAATGCCTGATGGATCCTTTCAAGAAGCTGTTATCAGCAAGTTAACAGATGCTAGCTGGTATACTGTAGGTAAGTAGCCACATGCTTTCGTTGACAGTCTCTAATCTTTGAATAATACATTTCTAATTATAGATAATAACATAAGTAATTATATTCTGTTTTGTAAGAGCTGAGATTTCGAAGGGAACTTTAAGTCTTCCAGATCTTGTTTCCTTAAAAATAGAATAATAATTTGATGTTGAAGGAGGTTGTAGCAAAGGGCTCAGCAGACAAGTTTTATTTGGCACAACATCCATATGCTGATGGTGGTTTCACTCAATGGAATTCAGAATGGCTTTTGCAGATTTTAAGACAAACTTCAAAATAGCACTTCTGGCTGAATATTTGTGACACGTGTTGACTGACTGGCTTGCAAGTGTTCTTTCACTGTATGCAGTCTTACAAAAGCAGCAGCAGCACCCACAGCTTCTGTACCCTTGGAAGTGATTCCTCTGTTTTGCGTAGAGCTGAAAGTTGAGGGTTGTGTTTGGTATGAAGTAACAGAAGAAAGGAACTTATTTTTAAAGAAATTGCCATTGCACCTAAAGAGAAAAGAGGGGACCTTTTTTTGTAACTTAAAATTAACTGTTGCCTTAAAACTTTTTCAAATAATGATTCAATCTAAAATAAAATAGAAAACAAATTTGCTTCTCCTGCAGGAGGCAGCGTTTTTTAGTTACTGACGCAAACCTCAGAACGCACAATCATCAAAATGTCAGCGTTGAATAAGGATTCACTGAAAGAGAAACTTCATTAGTTTGAATAAATAGAATTGCTCATTCTGATACCTGGGCTTTTCTGAAATAGCTCTGTCACTGGAGTGGCCTGCAACATTCAGGTGATACCATATAAGCAAACAAAAACAACCACAGTAACTGGATCGAATAGCTTTCCAAGTATCCAACTTGGAGGAAATGCACTATTCTTAATTGTACTGTATATTCTGCCATTCTACTCCACTATTTTTGTTCAGTACTTGCTTCTTCTTAATATCCTTGCACACAGTTCAGTTTTATCTTCATATTCTTCAGTACCCTGCTGAAGAGTCCCATATAGCGTGGGATATCAGTTTTATTTTGGTTTTGTGTTGTTTGTTTGTTTTAAGATAGACAGTACTTTCAGTAGTCCAACTTTCCCTTTGCAGTAGATGAGATTATTTAGTCTTTGATGGGATCAAGATAAGACTGTCAATGGAAATAATTTGGAAGAGTTTATCATGAGGCGTTTATTATTATTGTGTGCTATAAATATGAGCTGGTTGACTTTCCAGTTGACAGTGCTCACTGCTCTTTGCATTTTTATTTTTTTAATTCTCATATATTGTTAACAAATATCAGGAAGGGCCTACTTGCTGTGCAGGTGACCAAGCACAGCCTGCCCAGAGGTTCTGGGATTTCTTGTTTGGAGGTCTTTAAAAGCCAGCTGCTCTTTAAAAGCCCTGCTCTGAGTGGCCCAGACCAGGCTGGATGTGGCTCTGGGCAGCCTGGGCTGCTGGTTGGCGACCCTGCACATAGCAGGGGGTTGGAACTGGATGAGCACTGTGCTCCTTTGCAACCCAGGCCATTCTATGACCAGAGCTCATTTCCAACCTTAACTACTTTGTGATTCTGTGATCTTTTTTTTTTCCTTTCAAGGATATACATTGCTCTAGAATTCTAGATTAAGCTGTAAAGTTGTGGTACTCAGGTGGAAAAGGCAGACTTACTTCTGAGTCCTTTTGGCCTTACACTGCAATGTAACATATTTGGTGAACCCCTACTACCTTTTTTATCTTTGGACAGATAGAATAGAGGACAGTAAAGTTGCATGTTTTTTCATATGCAAATTTACTAAGGCTGCTAGGATTTTGTAGAACTTTGGAGCTGCTGGGAATGAGAGGGGATTTAAGTAATTCCATGATAAGTCAGTGTGCAATGTGGCATATAGGGTACCCATACATCTGAAAATACAATTGTAGCATGCTGGAATTGCATTCAGATCTTCCTAAAATTGTCATGAGTAGTACATGGTGTCGTGTTTATTGATATTGAAAGCAGAGGTGATGTTGACCAAGGTAAGCAGATTGAGAATTTTGTATCTTCATAACTTGGCTCTTTAACTTGGATAGTAGTGGAAGTGCTTTAGCTTGAGTACAGAGATGTCAGAGTGTGAGAAATAAGCCTTTTTTTTAGCCTGCTTGTCCTGTTGTAACTTTGTAGAAAGCTTTGGATAAGTATGGAGTGTATGTTTATGTTGCTGTCAAGTAAACAAGAGCTGAATTGGTTCCCCTTTAATAGATGGTGGCTGTGCTCCTTGGCAGTCTTATTGACGATTCAGTCAAAGCTAAAAACTTGAAAGGGAAGTGGATTAAACAGCTTTTCCAGTTCTGAAATGTTTTCCTGAACTGTGGTCAGGCTTGAGTTAGAAGCACAGGAGAAAGCTTGCTTTTAGTATGTGCTCCTGTAGCATTTAATTTCTGTTCTATGGATCATCACCTCTTTGTGATTTAAAACTATGACTGATAAGGGTAGAGAGGTCAGTAATATATGTGGGTTTATAAATAAATAATAATTTGCTTTTGTCATCAGCATAACAGATCCACAAAATCTCTTCTAACATGAGTTCTGCCTGTTAGTGGTGTCCATCTGCCCAAAATAAGTAAGGATCTCTTTTATTCTTGTAATGGTAGCTGCTCTGAAATGGCTGTTTCACCTGGTACCACATCTAGCAATGGTGTTATTGTAGCCATTTAGTCGTGTTGAAATTTTCAACTGGAGTACTTGAAATGCCTTCAAAAATCTCTGAGTGCTCAAGTAGGTGAAGAGACACAGCTGTTGGGGGTGAGGACTTAACAAAGCCTGGAAAACTGAGTTGCACAACTCAGCCCTCTTGTCTGCTCGATGGAGTCTATAGGGAGACGGCAGGGCTAGCAGTGTAAGTTCCTGGGGTAACAAATGGCTCGGTTGAGTTTTTAGTCTTTTAAAACTTAATTATTTTAAATGAACTTGCAATTTTTTGAAGTGCTGCATTGATGCTTTTGAAGTGCTGGATATATTGCTCAGTGATAATTACCTAGCATTAGAGCAGTCTGTCAGATCTGTTTTCGGCTGAGCCACGTTTGAATTGCTGCTAACTTAGTGTACACCCACCTGATTCTCTGTTAATTTGTAAAACAGGTCAAACATCACACTGCACATAGTTATATTTTTCTGCTGTAATCTTTTCTGGAGTTTTACTGCCATTACCAGAATGTCACAAAGCAGAAATCCTTGTGTATAAGTTTAAGGAAGCACTTTTGTATAACTTCTTTTCAAAGCTGAAAGTAACGTAGTGTCTGCATAAAAGTACAAAACTGTATTTCACTTCTTCAGTGAAGAGTTGCTTTAAATCAGTCTCTTTTCTTGCCTCATCAAAACAAGTATCACCTTCCTCTTGATAATACCAGTAACCTGCATATGCTTAGGTCTCTCATTGAAGATTTAACCACTGCTGCAGCTTTCAATGAAAGTAAAACCAGACCAAATACATTGTATCGTGTCTTCCGAAAGATAAAATCATGGAAAAGTCTTTCTAAAGAAAGAGAAGACATACAGCTAGCTTTAATCATTTTAGCTCTGCAATGTAGGGAAAATACAGAAATTAAAAGCATTGATGAGCACTTGTGGTTTCTAGTAGACCTTGCTGTCACAGTAGTGCTTTTTATACCATTTGGAGTAAAAAGCAGTGTGGTTTTTTTTATTTCTTTGAGAACTATGGCTTTCTGGCTTTTATGTAAGGCATCTTTTTAAAAATTATCTTGAAATGGCAGAATATTTTAGTATAAATAGTAATTAATTTTGCTCATTCTTTTAAATGCTGCGTGAATCTGCAAAGCCAAAAGAGTTTCCCTTTTTGGCTCTGGTGCAGTGCTGTACATCAGTGTGGCCCATCTGGTTGTGCTGTGGGCCAAACACCACTTGTGAGACCTCTGTGAGCACCCTCCCCTTGCTTGGGCTGCCCTGCAGATTCACATGGGGTAACTTCTCCTCTCTTGTGGTCACTGGGGCATTTTGCAGGGAATGCTGTTATCTGAGTGTGTGTGCTGGGGGAAGAGAGGGGAGTTGATACCTGACTGCTCATCCCTATGCAGGTGAAGTTTGGGTGGTCTGGGTTGTTGTGGAAATGAGGTCTTGGCCACAAGTTGTGTCACTGTGGGGTGTCACGTTTAGGAAATGTTGGATGCAGCCTTACTCCTGTCTGGAGGGTGATAGAAGCTATCAGTCACTAGATTTCATCCATTCCAGAGTCTTGCCAGTTTGTCTTTTCATAATGTCTACAGCAGGCTTTTTGTAGTATGTGCAAGGCTGGAGTTGTGTTTGTGTGGCTGGTTGGACCAGTTCTTCTTCCCAGCATCCTGTTGAGTTGTACAGTCCAGATGCATCGCTTCATCTTCTGGCTATGCATGCGTCACCCAGGAATCCTAAAGGACGAGTGTGGCAGGGGAAGTGTCCAGTCACCCCCACTTCTCTGCTGCTGCAATCCTCCCTGACCCACCACCACTTTCTTTTCGTCTCCAAAATGCTGCTTGCTTGGATTTTGAAGAAATCCCATATTTACCAGCATCACTCCATGGGGCGTATCGTGGATCAAGTGTGTCTGCAGCACACACAGAACTGTGCCACAGCTGCGTTGGTTGCTTTCTGAAGAATCTGGGAAATAAAAGAGCAGCACAGCATTTTGTGCTACCAGCACCTGCAGGTAGAGAGCACGTATGGGAGGGGAAGTATAGCAACTGAGCCTTGTTACAACTCATGGCATGGAACCCTTGCTTGTAAACCATCTTTGTTACAATGTGGACAGTGCATTATAGCAAAGTTATTATGTATAAATAATACTGTAGAAGTACAATACAGTAATACTGTACTGTTTTGCTAAATGCAGGGAGGTGTTTTTTTTTTCCTTCCAAATCTATGTAACGATAGTAAGATTACTATAACATCTCAGAAAAAAGGCTTTCAGGCAGTAGGTTCTTATAAGATGATAGCCTTATGTAGGAGGAATCTCAAGATTTATTCTTTGGTGCTTTCAGGGATATTTCATACATACCTGAGCAGAGGAACAGTTCCTCTAGAGTTGTTTTCTTTTTCTAAAATATAACACATCACTGAATTGCTTGGTCTCTGGAGGAGCACAATCCATTGCAGCATCTTATTACAACGATGAATCAGTGATTAGTGCAGTCCTTATCTGCAGGGTTATTCAACAAGTGCAGCCTGAATCCTAGTACTTTCTATATTGTTTCTGTAGTTGAAAAACAAAAAGCTAAAAAGCTTTCACATGTTTGTGGATGATTCATGGGTAGCATCTCTGATAGCTGATACACCTTAGGCAACTAGTGAAATAGTGACACAGTTTTTATTTGTTGGCATATACTTTCATTGTCTTGGTAGGTTTAGAAAACTTTGAATAGGAAGAGTAATAAAATAAAAACGTTTGCTTGCTATGCAGTGTGGAATCTCTCCTCTTTTGAGCAAGGACAGTAACGTAACTTGTTGGATTTGAAGTTAGCAAGCTGATGCAGCCCGGAGGGTTACTTTCTGTATTCACTTGTATGTTACAAAACTGCCTTGTTCTGGTAAGACTGATTGCTGTGTGTTCAAGTAATGTAACTATTTCAAGTATGTTACCACTGCTCTCCTGCTTTGTTCTCTTTATTTCTTTTTCTTTTTTCCCGTAATCTTGTGATATATATAAATAAGATATTTATAAGATGACTGATCTGCAGTAGCTTGGGGTGAGTTTCTCCCTGGTTTTTAAGCACTTTTTGGATTAGTTGGCTTTTTAATATTTCCTTTATAACCAAATGAGAACGGATGTTGAGATAGTGTTTTTGTGAGGGCAGGGTTAGGATTAGTGTTACTGTTGCTAATAGCTTATAGAGACATGCATGGGCCTGCTGCAGCCAGGGAATGGAGGATAACTGCTAATCCAGGGCTGGTGGAAAGCTACACTGCTTAATGCATGTTTGATGGACTCAATTTTTAAGAGGGAGTTTTTGAGATATTTGTTTTCCTAGCTTACTGAAAGTACTGCAATGATTCCCAATGGAGAATTTTGTTTTTCTGTCATAGCTTTGGCTTGCCTAAGCTTCCATGGACAGGAGTGCATCCACTTCTGTTTGTTACCTGTTGTTACTGACAAGGCTGGGTTGCAGCAAAAGTCTGAAGTTTTCCATTTTGTTCCATTTTTGTTTTGTTTAACAATGCTGTATATGGAACATACTGCGCTCCATATAGGGCATTCTTGGGAATTGAATGAGAACAAACAGAATAGAGACTGTTCCTCCAGGCTGTGCTGCTTAGTCATCTTTCTTCTCCTTCTGTCAGTGTTCTTGGTTAAATAACACGCCTTGGAAGAAAGGCCTCTGGCCAGCTTTTCCTCCTGTCATTCCTACTTTGTCAGATTGACTCTTAAAAAGTAGAGTTAGTTTCCTGGCTAGGAGGTATTGCTCTCTTCCCAGAAGTATTTGCTGGAGCAGACAGCTGGGAAATGGCTGTTGCCCCGGTGAGTACGTGCCCTCTTCAGGGTTAGGCAGCAGTGGCACATAAAGGGCTTCTGCTTCTTTAGGGAGACAGGACTTTAAGTCCCCCTTGTGTGATAAATATTGTGACACTGTGAATGCATCTTTCGATGGCTGAATTAGGTGGGCATGGAGAGAGAGATCCCTGCTTTCCATTTCCTTTCCTCCTTTGTATGCCTGACTGTTCAGCAGCCTTCCTTAAGGAATACAGCATGTAAGCATTTCTGCTGTCAGAGAATTTGGAGGTGTAACAATGACCTGTTTGGGAAACAATAAAGCAATTCATATAAGTTGTTCAGCATCAGTTCAACAGTTTTTATCTCTTTGTTAGTACTAGGCATTTTACCTAAACAGTCATACTTGTTAATATAGGCAAAGAAGAATGAATGTTCAGTTTTAATTTAAGATCCTATTATGTTCTTCTGCAATGATAGCTATTATACTATTGATGTAGTGCATAGACAAAACTCTGCTATCTCATCTACTGCTTATATCTCTTAAATCCATAGCATGTATAATATTTGTATGGTGAAAAGACATTCTCCTAAAGCCCTTAGGACTTGCATTTAAAAGTTGTGCACGGGGTGGAGGCAATATGAGCAGTATGTTTTGTGAAGTAGATTTTTCAGAAAAAGGCACCTGAGATGGAAGCACGAGGCCTACTTATCTTCAGGAAGGTGTATCTCTGAAAAGGTGCTGACAGTATCAAGGCATGCTTCTGATTAAGTCAGATTCCTTCCAAGAGGAGGAGTCGTATTTGCCTGTGGAGGTGACGTAGAAACTTATGAAGGTGATACTTCTGGAAGTAGGAATAAGATAGACTGATTGTATTTTTTCTTTACTGCCAAGTATCAGATCCTGTTTGCTGTTTCCAATAAAGTTACCTATTGCTAATCACCAGCCTTCTGTTCCCTAAAACCGTGTTTGTGAAGTGCTTTGACTTCAGTTCTGAATGTGTTCAGTAAAGCATAATGATGATGATCTGCTTTTAAACCTCTTCATAACAATGAGAAATTGCAGGTACTTGTAGGGTCCCTGAAAGTATACCACTGCATTCTATCAAAGTGTATGTATGAATATTATGTACAGATTGGGTGGCAATTAAAGATCAAAGGGCTGAAACGTATATAAGATGTAAACATCTCGTACGCTGCTGAGGGGGAGACCTCAGACTTCAGTGCAAAGTGCATCAGTGCTGGCTTCCTTCAGCTGTCAGCCAAACCAGAGGATTTTGAGAGTATTGTATTGGCACTGAGATTGACAGGTCTTCGTGGGATTCGTATTTTAAAGGCTTTGAAAAGGTTAATATGGCTAATTAGGCATATATCTTTCTGCTGTTCTTAAAATGTTAGGGTTCAGGATTTGCTTTCTGTGTACTGCATAATGACACAAGCCATTAAGATAATTCAGTATTGCAATGTACAGCAGCACTATCTCCACTCTGAGATTCTAACAATCTCAATGCTTATCTTATCAAGCTTAACTAAGTTTGTATTCATATGTTATTATGAGCTGTTATTGCAGTATTATTCCAGTCCAAGGTTTCAATCTAGGATTGAGAATATGACCATTCTATTCTGTTGACAAGTGAGAGAAATGCTTTTCTTGCTGTGACTAAACTGTACTTTTTGCTAACAAATCATGTAATTTCATATTTTTTTTTAATAGAAGTATGCCAGAATTACTGCATTGATAAACACAATGCTCTTTACACTTTCTTATTTTAATTAAAAAAAAAAAAGTTAGTTACTGGACAAAGCACATTTCAAGTAGTTTAAATATAGAATAGTATTCTGCCCTTTGACCCATACAAATAAACTTTTAACTTACCAGACCGACTGCAGCCACCTGGTCTCTGCTCTGTGAAAAGAGCCCGTTCTTGTGGCTCATGCAGAGGGATCTGAACCAGAACATGGGACATCTGAACATCTGAACCATGTTGCCAAAATATTGTGTGTTCCTTAAAATACAAGCTATTTCTGTGACATATTTGAGATAAAAGGAATATTGTTGCTTACTTCAAACTGTAGGTACCAAAACATTTAAAGTAAAATTCAGCAAGTGGGGAAACTAATAACTTTTCTTTCCTTATCTTAATGGAAATCTTAGTGAAAATGTTTTAAAGTGACTGAAGGGTAGATATTTCTCAGGCAAAACTTACAGTGAACTCAGAGTGTCCTGGACTTCTTCAGCTGCATATTGGAAACTGGTGGAACTTCCTTTTGCCTTACCCTTAACATCTTTATTTGTCTACTAAATCTTCTTTCTGAATTCTGTCAATTCTGAGTTCTGTGCAGCAGGAGAAAGAGAATTAAAAGGAGGGGAATCAAAAGAATAAGTGAGGAATAAATGGGTAATTTAAAAGCAAGAACAACAAAAAAGGAAAGAACGCTGTTAGATAATAGTAACTGGTATACAGCCAGTAGCTGTGGTTTGAAGAAGTGCAATGTATTGATAAGGTGGATGTCTAAATTAGATTAAAGCTACAGCTTCCAAAAGCCTTCCTGGGCACTGATGTGAATTTGAGTGTTACCCCTCCTGAGGCTGAATCTTGAACACCTCCCTTGTGTTTGTGAACCAAATAAATGTCAAAGTGAAGGTCTTTGAAATCGTGTTCTAGAGAGTATTCTAAATTGCATGATGAACAGTAGACTTGCTTTGTCAGTTTGGGATCATTTTCTGCCAACATGTTTTCTTGCTTGCGTTCTAGTTTTCGATGATGGTGACGAAAGGACCTTGAGACGAACTTCATTATGCTTGAAGGGAGAAAGGCACTTTGCAGAAAGTGAGGTAAGATGATGGACATACACTGAGAACTGGGTAGTAGACGGTTAATTTTTTTTCATATGAGAAACTGCAAATTAACTTTGTTTCTTCTTTGTTCACGTAGACACTCGATCAATTGCCACTAACCAACCCAGAGCACTTTGGAACTCCAGTTATTGGGAAGAAATCTAATAGAGGAAGGAGATCTTCTCTTCCTGTGTGAGTTTTGTTAGTGCTCTGTTCCTTCACTTCAGTGTCCTTTGCTAAAACTGTAGTTCAGTTAAAGCTGTAACAGTCTGGACAAGCACACAGTGCTTGTGGTACTAATAGGAATGGGAGGGTGATTGGACTAGATGATCTTGCAGGTCGTTTCCAGCCTTGTGATTCTGTGGATGGATCATCATGTGAGCTGCATACAAAGATTATAGACTGAGAAGTTCAGTTCATGCAGACTTGTTGATATTTTAGCTGTAGTATGAAATGGATGTTTTATTGTTGCTGTTTTTGTCCCTTGCAGTAGCCTTAAGGCTGTCCATTCTCCTTTCACATAACACGAAGTCATGTCAGGAAATGTGGGATTTTTAAGCTGCTTTATAAAATAGGAAAAAAGGTGCTTTTAAATTTTAAGGGTGGAGATTCTTTCCCTTTTGTTTCATGTCACTGTGCAATCATATGCTGATTCACATCTCCAATTCCAACATGATGCTGTGGTAAAATGCTACTATTTGGAAAGAATTTCTACAAGAATCCTTTAAGTCAGTGCATTTGTTACTTAGGAGTATTTCCAGCAATTTCAGTTCTTAAAATTATAATTTTATTTCTGAGTCCTTGCAGAAAAACAAGGAAGATCTGGCTGTTAAGTATTTTTGCTTTCAAATATTAACCTCAGGTGAAAACTTTAAAATATTGTATGTTTTAATAATTCAGAACTGAAGATGAAAAGGAAGAAGAAAGTAGTGAAGAAGAGGATGAAGATAAAAGGCGTCTCAATGATGAACTGCTTGGCAAAGTTGTGAGTGTGACCTGTAATTCTGAGAAGGCAGACTGGTATCCAGCTTTGGTAAGTTGTTTAAAACATTGAAATCTTTAATTTCACACTACTGTTTTCTGACAAGAATATAATCCAATTTGCTGCACTGTTCCTATAACAGTTTTCTTGGTTTGAACAGTTTGCACACTTCTGCAGCAAAGCTGTGAATGCAGTCAGGCCAGCTGTGCTGCCCATATTCTCTAAAAATCCAAATATTCTACAGTGTCTGTGAACAGTAGGAGAACAACAATGAATGTTTGTGTATAACTTACAGTTTGATGGCTCTTAAGTCAGTCAAAACTGTACGTGAAATGATTGATATGTCATGAATTTTTTCTTGGTGTTTAATGATTGCCTTTTTCCTTAGGCTTTCAGGTTTAACTACAAGTTCTTATCATGCATGCAGCTACATGACACGGCCAGTTCATCTAGCAGTAGGCTGGCTACTATTTTCATCTGACTACATTGATTGATCCTTTTTATTACCTTCTCTAACAATAATTATTGACTAAATTCAAGTGCCTTTGCTTGTACTGTAAAGGCAGATCCTCTGTAAGCCCAAAACAATTTATAGATACACATAACAAGTTTTTTTTCTTAAGTAGACTTTTCTGATAGTGTTAGACAAGCTTAATATGCATCTTCTGTCACTCAAAAAAGATGTGATTGTTGCTTGGAGCATTGAACAGATGGACAGATTTTGTTCACAGAGTTTTGCAGATATTTAATACAGGGTGCACAGTTGAGTTAGCAGCTGTACCTCAGTTTAAAATGTGAAATGTGGTGTTGCAATGTGTCTTCTGATTGCTATATATTGTTTTATGAACAGCAGATTTGAAATTTACGTGGTTCCAGGTAGGGGATTACCTTCCTTAGTGGCTGTGTAGCTGTCTGTGAGCTGAGAAGCAGGAAAGTCTTTTTGTCTGTCTGCCTCATCTGAATGGGGTGGTCCACCTTCCACTGAATTCTGATAGATCCAGGAGTTTATCTGCATTCAATGTGTTTTTGTCCACATGTGTGGTCTGGAGTAAAATGTAAACTTGTTTGTGGTGATACAAATGCTGCAATTGAATTTATAGCACCTTTTTAGACTTCTGGAGATAATACTGCTGTGGAAGAATGCATTGGAATCTGTACTGGTTTATATTAGCTACATCTCAAAAAACAAACTAACAAACAAACAAAAAAAACCAACCAAAAGAACCCAAGCTACTTATCTCTTAGGCTGAATCCCTCAGATCAGAATTTGATATAAAGTAAATAGGCCTGTAACTTTTGTTGTTGGTTTGAATAGTTGCTGCGAGCAGTTCTTCTATGAACAGGAGAAAAGACTGAGTGCATGCATAGGACAATGCAGTGTCAGCTCTGTAGAGGAGTAGTTTGAGTTTACAAATGAAATAGTAAACTTTTCCAGCTTGTGCATGACAAGTAGAGTAAATAGCTTGAGATAAACTACTTCTTGTAATTTGTTATTTTTGGCCCTGCTAATATCAACTGGAGTATGTTGCTTTTCTCAGAGCTGAAAATTACGCTGGAAGAAAGAAGGAAGCAGCTCTTTTCCTGCTGTCATTCCTTTCAAGAAAAGCTATTTCATTTTCTTTTCTGCTTTAAAAAAAAATGTTTTATTTGAAACTTCAGGTTGTTTCTCCCAGCTGTAATGATGACGTCACAGTGAAAAAGGACCAGTGTTTAGTCCGATCCTTTGCAGATTCCAAATTGTAAGTAACAGCTTACCTTTATTAGATTTACTACTTCTTCATTCTTTTCCTATATAAGACCTTGCTTCTGGAGGTGTTAATAGCTTTATCCAAAAGTGGAGGGTCCAACTTTGTGTGTTGTTGCTTGTATACAGTTGCTGTTCCTTTGCGATGTGAAGTGCAAACAAATGGTTCTTCACACTTAAGAAGGCTTGCAATATTGTACATTTTGAGTAACATGCATAGTTATTGCTTAATTCCAATTTAAGGGAATTTATATGTATATTTTTTTAGCCTTTATCACTCATAGTTCAATTCCAGCTAATTTCTTCTTTGTGCTCTCCCTGCTTCCCCCTCTATGTTGTATTTGTACTACGGATTGGTACAGAATTCGGTGCCTTCAGAGAGGAAAGAGAAGTCAGCAACTTCAAAAAACAAACTACTAGATGTTAACTTCTGGTCATTCCTGTCCTGTAAAGTGTGTTTCACTTTCAAGAAATATCATTAATGTCTTAACTACTACAACTGTCACGTGTGTCTGTTGCAGTAGCTTCAATACCTGATTGACCCATTACATCGTGTGCCCAGATGTCATTGCTGTTTAAATAGCAAAGTTTAAAAAGTATTTAATCCACTTCTAAATTTTAAGTGGATGTAAATTAACAGTTTAATTATTATTTATTAATTTATTAATTTATTAATTATTATTAATTAATACTTATAGAATCTCAGTCAAGAGTTCTGGGAAAAGGAAAGAAAGGTCTTCCAACCTTTTCTTTCCTGCCCCCATACCGCCTTGAAAAAACTGTGAGTGGATGAGTGGATGGTGGGAGAGACGTGTGTTACTTAAGGAAAAGTATATTCAGAAGAATATTAAGACTGTTTGTGAAGGTTGCTTCCCCTTGTTTGTCTTTTCTCATGCACTTCTAGTGCATCTGTCTCAGCATACTGTAACCAGAAACATCCTTGGTGAAGGCCACCTGGCACTCTTCTTCCTCACTGTTGTGATTTCTAGTAGCCACAGTGTTGACTCAGGGACGAGGATTTGGTCACTGAAACACATTTCAGGTAGCAGAAGGCATTCAGTTTTGCTTCTGAATGTAGACACATCATCAGCCTCCTAGATTAATTTGGCTCTGAATACTGAAGGTACAGTGTTGTTGGAAAAGCATGCAGCCTGGCTCTGTTCTACTCTTTTTTTTCCCCCATAGTATTATGGCTTTAACTTCAGAAAATGGCAGCCTCCAATTCCTGAGGCTTTACTCCACTTTTTCTGAATACAGCGAAAGAAGAAAAACAAACTTATTGTAATAACTCACTTGTAAGGCTTTCCTTGCAGGTTGGTTAGCATTTATATTATAGTAATTCAGTAACTGAGTAGTTTTTATAACTTTAGAACAGAACAATTTCCATATATTTTGCTAGTTTGGCAGCAGTGTATCAATGCAGATGTGTGAGTTTGCCTTGTTCTGTGCTAGTGGAAATGTGTTTTGGAAATAGAATGCTCGTTTCCTTTTAACTCATTGCTGTTCTGGGTAGCAGCTATTGATGGTGTCTTTTGGATTTAGAAAATGTTTTCAGTCTTTTTAGAGTATTTCAACTTCGCAAATGTGTGCAGGCTGAATGTTTGCCATGTAGAAACTGTACATGTTTTTCTTTATTATAAGTATTCCTTCATTATCTGAATTTCGGACGTGAATATTGGGAACTTATTCTGGTTCTAAATCTTGTACGAGGGACCACAGTAACAAATGCCTTACATTTACTTGTAGGAAAGGAGCTTGAAACTGAGTAAGAAATACTAGAATTTTTAGAAGTCTGTATGTATGGGTCAAATACTTGTTTCACTGTGTTATAAAAGTAACAGAACTTGTTTTTTTTCAGTTATTCAGTAGCAAGAAAAGACATTAAAGAAGTAGATGCTCTAAACTTACCAAAATCGGAGTCCTCACCTAAAAAAGGTAAATTTGAGTAAATTCTAGGTGTTTTAAAAACGTAGACTTAGCCAGCAGTAACGTTAACTTTTGCAGAGTAACAACTGCATGTTGGTTTGAAGAGAATTCTCCTGGTCATCTGTTCTGCAAACAGCTTTAAATGTGATAAATTTGAAAAGCTTTGGATACAACTGCCTAATTAATAACATAGCAACTAATAGAAGTGTTGCTTATTTGGTTTTGTTTCCTTCTTTCATTCCACTCCAAATTTATGCAAATTAAAAAGGTGATTTTGAAGGTACAGTGTTTGAAATGTCACTGAAAAATGACATACAGAGTTACCTCTCCTGGAACCAATGATTTACACTATAGTTGGAACACTTTTTGTCTTTAAATGAAAAGTACCCAGGCATGGAAGTGTAACCTTTAATAGAATAGCTTATGTCAATAGCCTGAAATTAACGTTTGATTAAAGACCATAATTACAGAGGGTGATTTTCTGAATGGATGGATGATGTGACTGCAGAATTCGTGTTTTTCCTGAGCTTGTGAAGGCCAGTTTCTCACCTTAATGTAAATCTTAAACTTTTAGTGCTGTTCATCCCAGTCAAAACATATCATTTTTGAAGGGGAAGGGTTCCAACGTTTATTTAAAAAACAAATACACAAATGAGAAAAACCACCACCAAGAGTTCCTTTGTTTTGAGTAAAGATGTGGAGCAGCTTCTTTACATAATGCAAGTAAGACAGCTTGAGGTGGTTTGATTTAAGATTTCCCATGTGCTTTCTTCTTATTAATTATTTCAGAGTACAGGAACTCTACCAGCAGTTATTAGGTGCTGGTGCTTTTTCATCTCTAGCAAAGCTTTGAATGGTTCATTGCAGTATGTCCCTCTTTTGGGTAATCTTCTGATTCCTCCTTGTTGAAGAAAAGGAATTCGAGGTATTCCTGCTATACAAGCATGACTTCTCCCTGTACCATCACTCCCTTATTCATCAGAATGGTTCTCTGATGTTCCAGACATGAATGGGACAGAATCTCCTTAAGCAGCTTTCTTTGACAAAATGTTGGTGTGGGGTTTGTTTGTTTGTTTGTTTTTGCAATCTAAACTTTAAGGCATGAAGATCTCTTAAAAAGAGCAAAGAAATCCATGGTATCTTAACTGTGATGGTTTGGGGCTTTTGTTTGTTTTTAATTGGTTTTACTGCAGTATTTGCCACTTTCATACAGAAACAAAACAGCTTTGCAGTTACGTGGAAAATGTGGATAAGTAAAGATCTTTGATGCTGTGTAAATTGCTAGATGCAAGTCTTAGTAGTGCTCATGAGGATGTGTCTAGGAAATACCACAGAGTCATAGAATGGCCTGGGTTGCAAAGGAGCACAGTGCTCATCCAGCTCCAACCCCCTGCTGTGTGCAGGTCACCAACCAGCAGCCCAGGCTGCCCAGAGCCACATCCAGCCTGGCCTTGAATGCCTGCAGGGATGGGGCATCCACAGCCTCCTTGGGCAACCTGTGCCAGTGCCTCACCACCCTCTGGGTGAAAAACACAGATGGATGCTCTCAAATCTAAGCTCCTTGAAGTTCTGATACTTCATCTTTAAAATCTGTCTTTAAGTATGTACTACGTAGACTGAGCGTTTAAAGCTACTCCATCACTTACTATCATTTTTGCTTTGTTAATTTATAAGAGTATGAAAAGGAAATTAAAAAATGCTTTCTGATTATAAATACTTGGGATGAGGTTAACATAGGGCCCTTTCTTCTGTAGGGCTTCAGGAAGCAAGCACGTTTCTCAGCACAAAGGTGGTTCCTCGGAACTGGAAGATGGACATAAGTGAAATTATGGAATCCTCTAGCAGTGATGAGGAAGATGGAGCTGCTGCAGAAACTGATGAAGAGGAAATAAAAAGAGAAGAGAAAAATGAAGAAGTGCTGGTAAGTCTGGGCAATTTCAGTTACTCTTCACAGATAGTAGAATAACATGCATGTTTAAAGGTATTCCACTTCATAAAGTTCTGCTCTGTCTTAACTTCAGTGTGTTTTCAGAGCTGTGCATCCTCCCTTTGCTCCTGGTCAGAAATAAAGAATAAAAGGCAGAAAAGAGTGATGGAAAGAATCTGGGTGAAAGAAAAACGAGCAAATGGATGCCGAAGCAAACATTTGTGATCCAACACTATAAAGATAGCTTTGTATTTTTCTTTTGAACTTCCTATGTCGATCATGTAAGAAAGTATCTTGTTTCTGAAAATCGTAGTTTGATGAGAAGACAGACTAAACTACAAAAGCAAAATTGCCAGGCCAACAAAGCAGGAGCTAATGCACAGTGCCTGTTAGAGCTCTTTGCTGCCTAAGACACCAAAAGCAGTGCAATACTTACCTTTATATGTGAGTCACAGCATTAGCTTTTTTCTGATCTCTAATATTACAGGTTAGGGATGGTACCAAGTGGAGGGAGTTTAATTCTCAGTGGAGATTTACAGCAAAATTTCAGCATTATTTTAAGTGATTTTCCGCAACCAGTTTCTTGTCATCAAAAACTTGTTTCTCCTTGTTCCTTTTATACCTGCTACCTGTTTCTAATGTTGATGCTAAATTAGTAATGAAGTTGGAGGAGGGGATCGCTGGTGGGATTTGTTTGTTTTTCCTTTGTTTCTGGCCGTTTTCACGATACGCTTGGCAACGTTTGGTTCTTTATACAGAAAAATCCAGTGAAGTCCCTCTCCTGAGGAAGGTCAAATATCGTTTCCCTTTCACTTCCCCTGCAGCGTGTGGTTTTGTCACAGCGAAAACAGAATGGCTGTTCATACTTGGAGGCTGCCTACGGTGTTGCCACAGCAACATTCTGTTGGCGTGGAGTGAGCATGCTCCAAAAGAGAGGAAGATTTAGCAGAGGCTTGGCAGCCTGCCAGGGGAGGCTTGCCAGATGCTTTGAAATGGGCTGTCTCTTTCTTTGCCTTTCATGTAATGTCTGATTTTTATTTTTATTTTTATTTTTTAATTTATTTATTTATTTTTTTTAATGTGGAAGAGAATGTAAGTAATGCTGTATAACTGCGGATGCCGTGCGGTGAGAGAGAGAGAGAAAGAGAGAGAGAAAGAAAAACAAATATTTGGAAGTCAGGCTGAAATATGTCCAGGCATTGGGCACGATAGGCAGAAAGGAAATAAAACCATTTAACATTTGAAAGAATGCAGCTCGTAGGTAAGGATTCTGTGTTTTCATCTGTAATGTTAGCGTGCTTTGTTGAGAATGTGGATTTGGAGGTAGATTTGTAGATTTCTGATCTGTGAACTGTCTGGTGGAGCATGCAACCAGGCTGGAGCTTTTCACATAGAAAGGACAATAAGAAGCTATTTTTAGGTGTTAATTTTATGGCTTAATTGCTGTTCCGGAAAACGGAGTGGATGTCTATATGGAAATAATGATCTGATTAGATAAACGTAAGGCCAAATGTGTGTGGAATATAAAATCCTTTGGGGTTTTTCCTCTGTTTGCAGTGAATAGGCCACATTTTTGCAGGGTGTGAACTGTTGCAGTCTGTATTAGTCTGTTTGCATTAATGTTGCCTGAATTTGCTGAATATCAGCACTGAAAATTAAGAATTGATTGAGCTGTTTTCTTGTATCCCTTTTTAATGGCATTTTTTGTGGCTTTTGCAGAAAAGTGCTGTGTGTTTTAAACAAAGAAGGGGGAGGGAGAGCTTGGTGGTTTAAAAAAAAAAAAAAGGAGAAAAAAAAAAGCATTCCTATAAAAGAAATAGGACTGTTTTTAAGGAGTAATCCAAATATAAAGAAGTGAAACGAAAGATTACAGACAAGCAGATGTGATGGTATGGAAAGCTGTGGAATCCATTAATTCCAGGTGACAAGTAGGGATATAAAAATACAGTGAGCATTTTCATGCTGAAGCTGTGTAGCAGAGGAGAGGTAGTAATCTCTTCTGATTCTCAGAGCAGAATTGTCATTTTAGCCCATGAAATCCAATTTCTGATTCAACTGTTAGAATATATGATTTGTTTCAACTGTGGGCCAAGCTAGCTGCTGCAGTAAGAGAGCATTTAAAGAATTTGTCATCATTTCTTCTTTTTTCTTTTTCCTTAAAGGGCAGTAATACCAGTTGCAGAGAACTGATGAGGGAATGATGCTGCCTTGCCATTATTTCACTGCAAATGTTGAATTGCTCAGATTTTGCATTTATATTTTGTAGAGTTTCTCATTTAATAATCAAGGTCCAAATAGCTTCTGCCCATTCTCTGCCAGAATAGCTTCATTGGACCTATTTTTTGTGGGACTGCATGTTGTTACGTTGCTGGAAATGGGACAGAGGTTTACAGAATGATCGTTTTTCCTCCACGCCCCTCAGTCCCATCGTCTGAAACGCAGAGTAGCTTTGCTGTCACGGCTTGGCCTGCTGCTGACCTGCTGTGATAGGTCTTCCTTAAATCAATCAAATGGCCTCAGAGCTACTTAATGTGTAATGAAAGTATCGAGTCAGTCAGAAGAGTCTGATTCTGAGGGTGGAAGGGATCCTATTTTTCTGCAGTAGGATCTTTTCTAATGGTAATGGAGCAGAGACCTGCTACAGCTAGTGATGATAGACCCTACTATTTATCCAGCCAGGATTAAAATCTGTAACTTTGTTTTGACACAGGCTGTCTTGCTATAATTATGCCACCTTTCATCAGGTATTTGTAGTGCAATTAGAATGACTGTTTTCAGGATTTTCGTGGTTGTTCTGTGATGTTTTTCATACTCTGAGGAATGGGAGCAGTACGGTGGTGGTGAGATGCTAATCCTCACTGCTGGTAACTGACTTGTGTGGTCCTGAGTTGATTCTAAAGGAAGAAAAGGTGGAAATTGTTTGCCATTGACTTTAACAAGGATTGCATTGGATTGAGTTGCTCAGCATGTTCACCTGGTTGGATTTTTGGCAATGCTTGCAATGTGTAATGCAACTTGGGATTACTTCTGATTCACACCATGAGGTTTGAATAACAGAACAGATGTTGCTTGTGTCACAAAAGGTGAGAAAAATTAGGAGGTATTGTAGAAAACAATTTCGTTATAAAGTGAAATTAAAATAAAATAAAATAAAAATAAAAACCAACACTCTTGGTTTGACTCCAGGTAAGAATTTGGACATTTCTCTTTGTTTTTATCTAGTTTTCAACCTGGCCTAATGAGATGGTTGTGATTTAAGGGCATGTTTGGCAGTCAAAGGATGCACTGCAGATACAAGGAAAGAGAATAGAATCTGAAGTCCACTATCTCCATCGAGATGGAAGCTTTCCTTGTGCTACCTAATTTTTGTTAAAAATCTTCTTATGTATACTGGTGTATTTGTAATTCAGTTGTTCTGCAAGGGGAGAAATCATCCCTGTTTGCTGCTTCTCAGGATGAAATAACCAAATACCTGCTGTTTTACGGGGGAACTTGTAGGCAATGTTTGTTCCTTTCGGTCTCCCTATAGACCTTTCTGACTCCAAAGGAATCAAGATTTCAACATGCAGTCTTTTGAAGTGTATTTTCAGTATGTGTTCTTAATGGGTACATTAACGTAAGACCTCAATAAGGGTGAGGAATTTGCTTTTAGTTAGAATTTTGTGAGTTTAAAAGGATTTCTGTCCTACCTGTAGAGTTGGCTTTAGTATCGTCTTTGGAAGACCCCAACCTGACCTGTTATTCTTCCACTTTTAATTTCCTCCCCTTAATCAAACATGCAAAACATGACCAGAAAAAAAAAAAAAAAAACCAAAACCAGAAACAAGTAGTTAAAATTAAAATACTTCCATACTGTTCCTGATTCTCATGTGGTCTTTTCTCTCAGAATCACAGAATGACCTGGGCTGAAAAGAGCACAGTGCTCATCCAATTCCAACCCCCTGCTGTGTGCAGGTCGCCAACCAGCAGCCCAGGCTGCCCAGAGCCACATCCAGCCTGGCCTTGAATGCCTGCAGGGATGGGGCATCCACAGCCTCCTTGGGCAACCCGTTGCGGTGACTTTGAAAGAGCAAATAAAATGTTACCTGAATCGTCCGTTTCTGCCCCAGCCCGTGTATAGGGATGGTTGGATTCATGCTTCTTCCTGGTAGTGATGAACGTTTTAAGGCTTCTCATCTTCATGTATTGCAGAGTTGCTAACCTGTTGCAGTAGGTTTAATTCTTTTCATTCCCTTAATTCAAATTCAGCATCAAGAAACAAACATTAAAATGATGAAAACAGATTTACATTAATCCTGACAACTTGTCCTGAGTGCGCGCTCTTCTGAACTCTGTGTCCTGTACACACTGCTCCTCTTAGCTTGCATTTCTTTCATGTAGGAGTTAACTGTGTTGTTAATCTGTTAATGACAGGAAGATCTGCTCCTGGTACCTTGGCTTGGTGTTGACTGAATGTATGATGTGCATGCCTGTAAGCATTCTTCCTCTGTGCTCCCACTCAGCTGTTCAGGTTAACATCTACAGAAGCTTCGGTGTTGTTTCTGTAGAGTAAATGATGGATCAGGGTAACTGAGCTGTGTTCTTTGTGAAAATCACATTAAGGAGAGAGGGCTGAACTCATGGTCCATAAAGGGGCTGGAAGGCAAATGAAGCAAAATCAATTAGGAGATTTCTGCAAGTTCACAGGGTTTGTGTTCTGCTTATTTTTGAGAGTAACGACCGCCAAGTAATTTGTACAAAATACATGAGAGTACTGTTAGCATTATTCGAAAGGTAATATGAAATGGAACTGGGAGACACATGATACAGAAGTCCTGTGTTCGTTGCTGCTTTCAGTTTTCAGTGTTTATCATATTCTTTGAATGATGTGACCTGCTCATTAGAAAGGACGAACAGACTCTCAAACACCCCCAAATTTGGCTTTTTGGTGATAAGGCAAAAAGGGCATTCTGGAGCTTTATTTACTTATTTAGAAAAATGAAATTAGGTGGCCTGAAACAAAACACATTTTGTCACGTTGCATCTACTTCTGGGTATTGGATGGACAAGAAGAAAGGTCTTGATTTTGAACTCCTGGCCCTAACAAATCTGATGTTGTTTTGCTTCTCATTTGAACTTGCCTTTGGTACTGTCTCTTTTTTGCAACATCTCTGTAAGGAAAATGAAACGGAGAGACAGAACCGTCCTTAAGAAAGCTAATTTTGAAGAATTCCCTCTATAAACTTATTTATTCCCAATCTAGCAAATGGGCATGTGTGTCTGGATATAGAGGTGAGCTTTCAGAAGGTATCAGTGTTGCCTCATTGCTGGCTGGAGGGATATTCTAGGAACTGTAGCTCTCCATTCACTCTCTGATGGTGATGGCAGGTTGTGGCATCAGCATTTCATGTGTCATATTGAGGTCACTTCTCAGAAGGAGTTGGGCCTTCCCTGGTGTGGGTGCCAGGCATGACACAGACTGTCCCTGTTGAGCGCCAGCCTGGCTCACGCACAGTCTGCAGGGAGAAGTGAGTATGGAGCTCAAGATCTCACATACTGCAGTCAGGTTTCCTGCCCCATTCTGTAAGTGTGTAAAAGCTTTCATCTTTCCTTTTTGTTCCTCTTCAGGTGAAAATGCTGCATGTCAGTGAAACAGTTAACGTTCTGTCTGCAAGAGTGCTATTTCTAACCTACATTCTGCTGTTCTGACCTACAGTTCTGGTTTGGCATTCAGCCTCTGTAAAAGAAATGGTTGGAGTGCAGCTCTTCAGAAATATTCCTGAATGCTTAGTGTTGTTCAGATGGATTTGGTTGGTATGGTGAGAGTGGTATTGCCTCCACTCAGTAAACATTACAGTAGGTGTTAGAAATTTCTCGATCGTGGAGTTCGTGATGCAGCTTGTCAAGAAAGGGAAAAGGAGCTGTGGTTTCTATAGCAATAATTCATTTGCTAACCTGAAAGGATGTAATTCTATAGATAACTGTTCCTCTTTATATAATCCCTATAATATGCAACATGAGGAAATGTAATTTCTCATTTAATTTCCTCCAATTATTTCCAAAGAAAAAATGGGAAAATACGAAACAGATACCATCTCTGTCTGGCTGTAGGTGATCCCTGTTGGGCTTTGAAGCATAGAATTCACTGATGCAGACAGAGCTGAAATTCATACTGATGCTTGGCAGATTGCTTTCTGGTTAACAAGGCAGTAGCACGCACATTTACATTTCACTGCCTCTCTTTCTGCCTTGGAGCTTTGAGTTTGTGGAACACAGAGGAGGCTGAAGTTGAAATTACAATTCTGCTTTCCTTCTGGAGCTGCGTGTGACTTTTCTGTTATTTTTAATAAAGCAATGTAAGGTTTTTGACACGTGCTCTACGTCTTTCTCTCGAGACACTTGCAGTCTTCCTTGTACAAACTGCCTTTGCAGCAGTCCTGTAATTGCCAGGCTGGCAGGAAGAATGTGCCATGCATAAAGCATTGCAGGGAGAAGATTTTGCTGGGCTCTGCTGGAATCTCAGAATCTGTGAAGTTTATATAGATATGTAGAAAGTGGATTTTTTTCTCTTGCCTTTCCTCCAACCCTCCCCCAAATTTAATGGTTAAAAGAAGAAAAGCGTTGTTATACAATGTGGACTGCTTACCATAATGTTTTGGAAGTGTTTGTCTGTTTAAGAATTTAGGTTTTAAAGATAAGATGAAGGAACTTAAAATAGAAAAGTATGGAAAATATGTGTTTAGGGAATGGTGGAAGTGTCCGTAAAAGCGTTTCCAAATGTGAGCTGAAGGCAAGCATCAGTGCTTAATCACAAAAGGAATTCGTCTTGAGCATCAAAAATAGGAAGAGTTGGAGAAAGCATTTACCAGCCTTAGCTGTAGTTTGGTTGAGGAAGGTTAGTAAGCAAACAATACTATGTTCCTGTGAACTGCTTCGGTGCTGTAAATAACAGACCTCTTCTGTATTAGAATGAGACACTAAATAATATTTTCATTTTGAGGATCACACTGAATGCTCTTCTTCGTTTTCTTTTTCTCCTCTTGAGGTACCCACTGTAACCCACCAGGGAACGTTTGTCTTCTGCACGTGTCACCATGTTAAGGGTGTGGGGCCAAGCAGAAAGTGGTTGGGGTTTAGTTTTTGCCATTATGCTTCTGTACAAATCAAGTGTTACTTTGCATACCTTGTTTTCATTGTGACCGCATTTGCTTTCGCAGCCCGAGGAAGAGCTTGATCCTGAAGAGAGGGACAACTTCCTCCAACAGCTCTATAAGTTTATGGAAGACAGAGGTAATGCCAGATGAATTTTCTTTCACTTTCAGTCCACTTTTCTGGTGGCTTTTGAATGTGTGGTGGATGTTGTTATGAGCATGTTCTCACATCAGTGAACAAGGATAACAGCCTAGACAGGGGAAAACGCTGTTTTCAAGTGGCATTTCTGTGGCAGATCTGCTTCAAGTTCTTTGAAGCACAGTGCACACAGGAAACTTAAATCCTCCTTGAGGTGTTATTGTTTTGCTTTTGTAAAGCCTTTTTTTTTGTGTTAACAGTCACTGTTAAATAAGCTCTTGGCTGTTTTGTTGTAACAGCCGCGGCTGGGAGCTCTGCTGCTGTTAGACTTAGGCTGGAACCTGAGGAGGCTGTTCATGGATGATGAAATGCAACCAGCAGATAAGAGAAGTGCCATCTTCAGCCCCTTGCCTTAATCATGCACAGATGTAGCAGTGATACTCACCTGAAGAAAGAACATCCTACTTTGTCCAGTAGCTAGAACAAGAAAATGGCAAATTTAAAATGATTTTAGAATCAGAATTAGGTGAGACTGTAATGAATTGGAACAGTTAATGTCCTGGGGTAAGACATCCATTGGAAAGGCTTGTGCAACGTTTAGGTAGTCAGCAGGTACATCCTGCTCCCTTCAGAGAACTGTTGCATAAACCATTCACATTTGCAGTTGTGATGAGACTGATGCTATATGGTGGTGTCAGAATATTTCTCCCTTATTTCCTTTTAATGGGAAAAAAAAAAAACCAACTGGATTTTATAGTGGAAAATACGTTGAAAAAGCCAGCTTACCTTTTGTTAAAGATTGCTGCATTGCTATGTCTATGACTGTGAAAGCCTGTTCAATATTGCCAGTGCTTATCACAGGCTTAGAAACAGATCATGTGTTGTGGCAGAGCGCCAGTATCATTTTGAGCCTGTTTGTGTAGGACCAGTGTTTCTACAGATAACCTGCCTTGGAGAAGTAAGAGGTTTTTAGGGAAAAATAAAAATTAATAATTAAAAAATAATGTTGCTGGAGTAATCTGAATTTTTTCACTTTCCCAGTTGCCTGGGTCCTCCCCCTTCTATTTGCTTCCTTCCCTACTCCCTTAAGCACTCTTAGAAACCTTCTGTGAACCAAGAGGAGGGATGACATCAGTGACTTGCAGAGGAGAAACTGGAAGGTGTCTGTGCACTTAATTTGAAGACCCAGTGTAGAAATTGTTCCTTAATCCAGCGTGTTGATTGAGCAATATTCAGGACTTCTCAGGACTGCATCTTTTTCCCTGCCTTTTTTTTTCTGCCTTTTTTTTTGTTTTTCAACCTGTGCCCTTTTAGCAGTATTTCTGTTCTTGCCAGATTTGTTCTGTATTCTCTGCTCTGACTATGAATGTTTCCATTCATGTAATTGTGACATTATTCCCAACGTCCTACAGAGTTCTTTTCAGGATTCTAAATACTATTGCATGAAGATGAATGGAGATGACAAAGCAGTGGGAAATGGGGTGATACTCCTCCATGCTGGCAAGGATGCTGTACATGCACAGCCACTTGCTCAAAATCTCTTTTGGTTTCTCCTTTTGTAATTAATTATTGTTCTTTAGATCATTGCCACTCATCTGATTCAGATCCTTTCTTTTTCCCAAATATTCACATCCTATTAGGAATTTGTGTTGTTTCACATTCTGATTGTTTGTCTGTGTTGCATTGCAAAAAGAAACATTTCTGCCCCCTTCTCATTTCTTTCAGACCACAGTGCTTGGAGTTAAGCTCTTCACATGTTGCCATATTCCAGCATTCATCAGGCACTCTGTACAGCTTGCTGCAATTCTGCTGCCCCCCACCTCCAAAGGGGAACAGTGGGATGCAGCCAATTGGATAGGGATTATTGCACAAATCATAGTTATCAGGCAGCTGCTGCCAGCACGCTAATGAACCACCCAGAAATTTGTGATGTGTTCAGAAGAGGGTGAAGCCTCGATTGTTGGTGGGAAACTACTGACTTGTGACACATCTTGGAGCTATTAAATAGAAATGTTAAAATGCAGAAGACTTTGTAATGAAAGACTTAGTAATGAACTGCGTGCTGAATGAATGGAGGAAGCGGTTTGCTGTTCTTTGTGATGATTTTTATTCCTATTTTTGTTTCATTTAGGTACTCCTATCAATAAACCACCTGTTCTGGGCTACAAGGACCTTAATCTCTTCAAACTGTTTAGACTGGTATATCAGCAGGGTGGGTGTGACAATGTAAGTGTCGGGTGTTCCCGAAACTGAATGCCTCACCGTTCTTAAAGGCTGTGACTTGTGTGTGTGTTAAGTGTCATTCCTTCATGTTCTCGCTCAACAAAACATGACAGCTTACATTTCTTTTTCTTTTTGTCTTTTCTCTCCCCAAAGATTGAGAGCGGTGCTGTTTGGAAGCAAATTTATATGGACCTTGGCATTCCTATTTTGAACTCAGCTGCTTCTTACAATGTAAAAACTGCTTACAGAAAGTAAGTTCTATTGTGAAACAGTGGAAACATTGCTTTTTTTTTGTTGTTGCTGTTGCTGCTAATAGCATGTACAGCATTCAAGCAGTTTTTGGTAGTTTAATGGAACAGTAGTTGCCATTCTTCAGTTAATTAGCAATTTTGAGCATTTTCCATTGCCAAGGATTGAATAGATGGAGGAAAGGAGGAGTGCTCAGGGCTGCATTAGAGTTGTGCTCATTTTTTTTAATCAAGAAACATTCATTTTCAGCATACGATGATGCCATTTCAGCATACAACAACAAAAGTTATTAAAAAATACTTGGGCAAATTCAGGTTTGCAATTTATGGTTATGAATCTCAGTTGCATGCTGTTCAAGTCTTAGATGCTGCCTACAGAGAGCAGATTTTTTTTTATCAGGTTTTTTTTTTTTTTTAACTTCCTCACAAATGTTGATAGAGAAGGATATCAAACTGCATGTTTAAATGTCATCTTTGTTTGGATTCTGTAAATTAATAGCTTCAGAATTACATAATTAATGTATACTGCTATGGTGGATATCACAGTGTTGTGTAGTAGAACCACTACTGTAATAAAAATGTGTGAAACTTTATTCTAACACCTGCTTTTGAGTCATGTTCTTACTTTTGAAATGGAAACCTTTTAGGATTTACATTTTTTTTCAGGCTCATTTTCTAAATAAAGATTATTTTTATTATTTATTCTCCTGAAAGTTTGAACAAGAAACAATTGGGCTTTTTGAGTAGAAGGGAAGAATGAGGTTCTCTTGACTCGAACCTAAGGAAATTTGGCTGATTGAATAGGGATGAATGACTAATGACTCAACTCATGTTAATGTTGATGAAGATGAAAATGTTCAGACTATCTTCAGTGGCATTTGAAGTGGGCACATATTTAAGGTCTGTATTTTACAGAGAAGAGTATGTATCATTAAAAAAGTAAATATCTGCTAGGTTGCTGTTGATGTGAAAATAATTGTTGTACGGACACATGACAGTGTGTTGTGATTTGCATATTTATTCTTTGAGGGAGCTGCTGCTTCACATTTCCCTCACCTGTAACTGGATTAGAGCGTGTCCACAGGCAGTTAACAGAGAGCAAGCTGATGCATGACGATTTGTTACCTTGTGGTAACTTGCTTATATGCCCATATTCTAATACTAGGCTGATCTTTGCTGTCACTCCATGTTTGCAAAACTGTGTATATGTTCTTAGGCTTCACTGTCATGAGCTCTTACTTGAATAGAGATGAAGTTAAATTGGTGGGAAGCAGCTGTGTGTACGTGCTGAGTTGTCTTTTTCACTGCTTGACTTCTTGTTCAGAGTTGTTTTATTTCAAAAACTGCTCTTCTGTTTTCGTTTTTTTTTTCCTGAAGTTACTGTTCTTCCCTGTGAGCAGGAAAATAGGTTTTTTTGCACTTAGATAAGCAAAAAGCAAAGCTGAAATGTAAATCAAACTCATGCTTGTTTCATACAGGTATCTTTATGGTTTTGAAGAGTACTGCCGTTCTGCAAACATTCAGTTTAGGACCATTCATCACAATGAACCAAAAGTGGTAGAAGACGTACAGAAACACGAGGAACCAATGGAGGAGAGTGTGAAAGAGGAGCAAAAAATGCCTCCAACAGAAGCAAAAAAGGAAGCAGAAGAAAATTATTCCAGCAGCGAGAGCGAAAAAGAAGAAATAGAGCTAAGATCCCCAAGGGTAAGTAGTTCAGACTGATTTCTGCTTAAACCCTTTGTATATTGAACAGTTTACATAATGAGTTTTCCCTTGTGCAGCAACTGTACATTGGAATTAGCATTCTTATAGGACAGCATTCAGTGAAGAAGAGTTGGTGTTCAGTTGTTAATTGCATTTTTGATTATTTCTTCACTTTCTAAACCTTCCATAGGATTTGCTAAGGCTGTGTTGGTTGTCAGTTGTGTTTCTATTCAGGGATGGTTTGAGAGCTGCTGAGAGCTGTATGTCATCAGAACAGTGTGAACCAGCAGGATAGTCCTGGTTGTGGGTGAGAACTTCCACTTGCACGTGGAACGTGAGGCTTTGTGTCAAGAAACAGGCATATCAAGGGAGTGCTGAAGCCTTAAGAATCAAAGGAAGACCCATTTCTTACCACAGAAAGAGTTGATTCTTAGCACAGTATTTCTTCATAACATACTTAAACGTTCAAGTCACTGTGCGATGTCCCTGTCAAAGATACTTCAGTAGTAAAATGATAAACCTGTACTAGAGCCCCAAGAATCAGTCTGAGAAAGTCCCAAACAGCAGGTGTCCCACTGCTGAAAATACCTCTTAAACATTCAGTATTTGTAAAGGGGACAGATTTCTGTGAAATCAACAGGTAGCTGTTGGGAGTGGAGACACTAAAAGGAAGGTGCCTTGTCTCAGTCCAATACGAGCACTTAAACAGCATTGCTGTTGTTGTCAGGGACAGCAGACCTTGCAGGCATCCTGCTTTGCTTTCTGGTGTTATCTCCAGCCTTTCTTCCATACAGGAGTAGTGTATTTGGAGAGCCTATAAGAACAAGTAGATTTTAACCAGGTTTTATTTGTGTTGCAGGGACGAAGACGGCTTGCCCGTGACACAAACCCTGCTAAAAAAGAGAGTGAAGATGATAAAACACAAGACAAATTAAAAGACAACAACAAGGAAAACAAAGATATAGAGGAAGCCCTCGAGAATGCAGAAAAGAAAGAAAATGAAACTCTACTAGGAAGAAAAAGTACGCCAAAGCAAAAAGAGAAAAAGATTAAAAAACAGGAGGACTCTGATAAAGAGTCAGATGAAGATGAGGAGAGGCAGAGGGAGAGGTAAGCATTAATTTGTGTCACCTTCTTAGCAGTCTATCTGTGTAAGGGCACTTGTTAAGCAAGTGCATCCAGAGAATTTGGAGGTCTGACTAGTTTCTAAAGTGTGAAAATCAGAAACCTCATTTGCTCAGCTGGAAAGGAAAAGGAAAGTGCTATTTTGGGCTTGCAGAGTTGATTATATTTGAAGGAATTACCTTTTTCTGGTAGATGGCAGGCAATATTTTTCACTTCCATCTTCTTGAAAGTCCTGCCAAGATCTGTTTAATCATACTCCTATGTAGACAACAAGTAAGACAGGCTGTTGTATGGATGGTGAGCAGCTGGGCAGTTAAAGCATAAAACATAAACAGTTAAAACATAAAGCTTCTCTGTTGTTAGTGATGACTGGTGAACGCACAGTTCACTTATTTCAATGGTTACTTAAATGTATCATTGGTAGGCAGAAGTTCAGCTAGGAAAGCAAAGGAGGAGTTTGAATGAAACCTGAAGATAAGTTGACAGCTATTGGATGGAGAGTTGTAGAATGGCAAAGACAGACTGACTGAACAGTGGATGGATGAGGAAAGAGTAGTAGAGAAAAGAAATGATTGTCCAAGGGAAAATACTGTCCAGAAACAAAGTTTGGCAAGTGTAAGTGGCTTGATCAGAAGCAAGCTATCACCAGGTGTCTCACATTGTTGCCAGAGTGGTTGAGGGCATTATCTGAGTTGTTTAAGCTGGCCTGCCTGCCTTGTTTTTCTTGTCCGTGTGGCTGAATTGTGTGGGACGCAGCTGATACTGAATAAAGGCTGGTGGGGTTATTTCATGTTTTCCTCTAAGGAGGTTTGAGGAGCGGGAGCAACACACAGTTATTTTAAAGAAAGCTTCACTGTGCAGCCCAGAGAGAAATATTTTAGCAGACCATAGTATGCAAAAAGGGGGTGCAGTGTGGGTGTGTGGCAGGTTGCAATCATGTCAAGTGAGTAGGGCATCAAAGATATTTTGAGTAATGCAGGTGGTGCTCATCATCTTCATTTTTATTCTGTTTGCCACAACAGAATAGTTCATCTGTCCCTGGTAAATACATTTGATTCAAAGTAAACTTGGAGTCTTTCAGGATTTCCTCTACTGCTGACTATTCTTGTGGTTTAGCATCGCTCTAAGTTCACCCTAGCAACAGGTTATGATTGTAGGAACTACGTTTAGGTATTGTGTTCCAAGGTTGGATATTGCTAACAATATGTAGGTATAGACAGAAGAGCTGTGTAGACACTTCTGATCTTGGTTAAAACTGTGGTAGTCAGTATTTGTTCTGTTGGAATGGTGTTAATATCTGCAACAGGATCACTGTCCTTCAAACTCCATATGCTGTTAACAAACTTCAGGCTATTAAGCAGCGTAGGAGGAAGAGACTATTTTTTACAGTAGTGTGTCAAAAGCAATGATATTTTAAAAACTGAAGTTAGTTTTTCCTATCTTAGAAGCCAAACACTGCGTTGATTGATTCCTCTTTCTGAGTTATCTGAATTTTCTTTAAAATCCTCAGCCTGCAGAGTTGTGTTCAGGCTGGCTTTGGAGGCAGGGCGTGATGCAGAGAATGAGCATTTTTGTTGCAGTTTTCTTTCTTTGGTAGCAGCTTGGCTGTGCTAATTAAATGTTAAAACTTTGTCACTAATTAGTGGGTATTTAAAATACATTTTATTGCAGGGAGGAGATTGAGAACAAAGGAGAATCAGAAGGTGAAGAGGATGAGGAGGATACAGAACCTTGCCTGACTGGAACCAAAGTGAAAGTAAAATATGGACGTGGAAAGACACAGAAAATTTATGAAGCCAGCATTAAGAGCACTGAGACTGATGATGGAGAGGTTTTATATTTAGTGCATTACTATGGTTGGAATGTAAGGTGAGGAGATAGCATGTCTTGATTTCTAAAATGATGGTTACTTCCAAAAGATTTTGTTTTTAAGAAAAAAAAGAGAAAGATAATCAGTGGCTTGGCTGGAATGGAATTGTCAGCATGGTAGTGTTATCTGATTGTTCCATTTTTCCCTGGTAGTAATTTTGTTCATGGCATGTTGCTGTAGTATTAAAATCTCAGAATGCACTTGTATGTTTCCAAGTTTCCATCCTGCTTACACTGTGTAATCCTCTCTCCTCACAGAAGTATCCATGTAATTTATTGTGCCAGCTGGTGTCACCAGCGTCAGGCTTGAGTTTAAAGAAGCACTGGTAATAGGGAAGATGCCTTCAATTAGAAGATATGCAGGCACTGAGATTTTGGCAACAGAATCTATTCTTGGATTCAATGTTCCCTGTGATTATCAAGAATGGTTGTTACATGTGGGGAGGTTAGGAGAGAGCCCAGCAGCAAGGAACTAGAGAAAACAAAAAGATTGGATTCTTCTCTTGGCAGCCATGCTTTATATTCAGTACAGCTGTAGAAATTGCTAGGTTTTGTTGTTGGTTGGAAAATGGTGATTACATAAGCAAAAATATAACAGAATTAATTCATTATTATAATTATTTTTAATAAAGCCTTTCAAGTATATAACTTCAGGTGTTCCAAGTCTGTGAATTTCTGAGTAAATTGAGCAAATTCCTTTTTGTGGCAGTGTGAAGTTTGTTAGTGAGGTCGGTATCCTTCAGACAGTTTAATGGAAATTCAGAAAAAATTACTACATTGTTTTTGAAACTTAATGTAATAATTTATTAGCAATGTAGTTGATCTTCCTAATGCCAGATACTCCATACATCTGTAGATCTGTGCTCTGCTTTGCTGCCTCTCTTTGTAAATGTTTTCTGTAATTTTCTAAACATCCTGTTGCAAACAGCCTTCTTGTATCTAATATGTTGTGACTTGCTTTTAGGTATGATGAATGGGTGAAAGCTGATCGCATTATTTGGCCTGTGGACAAAGGAGGACCAAAGAGAAAACAGAAGAAAAAAACAAAAGTAATACGGATGATTTCAATAAGTTTCTTGTAGTACCAGACTTATGACTATCTATGTTCCTTATTTTAAATAAAAAAAAAAGATTCAGTCCAAGCTCTGCCTTTCTAATAAATGTGCAGGGAAAAAGGAGAATAATTTTACACCTTAATAATAAAATGTTAATTTTCTCCCCCAGAATAAAGAAGACAGTGAAAAGGATGAGAAGAAAGATGAGGAGAAACAAAAATCGAAGCGTGGGCGACCTCCTCTGAAATCTACTCTTCCATCAAACACATCTTTATCCAAAACACCGAATAGTGAAGGTAAATCAGGAGCCAGAAGTGCACGGAACAACTTGTCAGATTCCTCACCTTTGCCAAATGGAACAGAAGGTACATCTGGTGCACTCTCGTTCTGGCATGGAAGTGCATGTAAACAGTGACGTAATGCAGTGCATTGACACGACACCTTCAGTGAACAGAGTGCTTTCAGAAGCTTTAAAATCCTGCTTAACCAGTCAGTGTACAAGCAATATGACAAAAACACATTTCTGGTGCAGATTTGACTCTCTGAAAATTAATATTTTCAATTTTGATTTTAGCAACACCTCGCAGGCAGACAAGACGTAGCTCAGGAATGTTTGATTCTGATAGAGGATCAAACGGTGAGTGATCTCAGTCCTGTGTATGTTTTTGAGGGTTTTTTTTAGTACCTTTTTTGAAAAGAAATCTTAAAATTATTATTTTTAATTTTTTTTTTTTTTTTTTTTTTAACCTGCCTGTGAATTTTTATTGAGGAAGCAGGTGAATTGAAACTGCTGGAGAACACAATTTGCTCACAGGAGAGCCATGGCATGGATGTGACAGTGCAAGTCATCCCATGTTCTTTAGCCAGAGCCTTTCAGTCCTAATCCTGAGCAGACCTAGTGGAATAATAATAGTGTTTATAATGGAAATTAAGTCCTCAGCCTCAGTACTCCATCATCCAGTAAAGAAGTTAATTATATACAAATGACAGTGATATTTCTGGTATTTCTAAGCCTCTGCAAATCAGAACTGAAGTGAAATCGCCGCCTCTTTTTAGTGTGGGTCCCTGAATAATCTTCTGGTAACATCATAATGCTGAAGTTTTATGTGGTGTGTGATTCATACAATAATTTAGCAGTGTCCACGTGGGAATCTGTACAATTATTTTTGCTACTAGAAACTGTGATACAGTTATACTGGATAATTTAGGAAATAATACTGCCATCACTACAATTGTTGAGTAGGGGCTTGGGGTTGCAATAAGAACTGTAGTAAGTGGATTTTTTGTTGTTTTTTTGGGATTGCTTGTTGTAAATTGATTTTAATTGCATAGATTACTGGAAAAGAGTTTGTAGTTGACAAAAGTAATAGTTCTGTATTAAATGACCTAGGGTGCTTTTCCCTTCCATTTCTTCATTTCTGTGTTTTAAAATTTTTGCAGACTCTGCTTCGTCTGACAGTGAGGCAGATGAATCATCTGAGAAGAACATGAATGAGGAGTTTTCTCCAGAAACTTCAGAACTGGAAAAGAATGAAAAACAAAATGATGAGAAGCTAGACGAGGAAAGCCCAAAGATTCCTCACGCACTGAGAGAAAATGACAGGACTCAAGTGCAGCCATTAGAAATCCTGAAACTGGAAGTTGAAGAAAGTGAACAAATAGTGCAGATTTTTGGGAATAAAACAGAGCAAACGGAAGAAGTCAAGAGGGAAGCTGAAAAATCACCTAAAGGAAAAGGGAGAAGGAGCAAGACAAAAGATGTCTGCTTAGAGAATGCAAAGGTTTCTCCAGGAAGTCAAGAAGAGGTGGCTAATGAGTCTCTTAGAGAAAATGAAAGATTAGACACGTCTTCCTTGGACTGCAAAGAGTTTTCCAGCACTACTGAAACTGAAACAGAGCCTTCCACAAAAGATAAGAAGCTTTTGAAAAGGAAGATTTTGGAGCAGGCTTCACCTGAGAAAAGAAGTCGACGAGAGAGTGAGATGGAGGTCCCAAATATTGTATCTGAGGAGAGGACCAATGAATGTACTGGGGCAGAGGAATGTAGAGGGCTGAATGCTGAAGGGTCACTCAGAACTGAAAATGAAGAAATGCCATCCCTCGTGGCAGAATCTGTGCAGCATGGGGAAGAGCTGAGGAGCGAGAACTTTCAGCGTCCGTCTGAAGAGAATGATAACGTCCCCTTGAAAGATGAGGATGACACAATGCCTCACATTGGTCCCGAAACTTTGCTCTGTCATGAAGTGGACTTGGATGACTTGGACGAAAAGGAGAAGAGCAGTAGTGAAGATACGATATCGGAAAAGCCAGATCCCAATACTTCAAATCCAGCTGCCTTACCTGCTGCTGTCCAGTCGAGCTTCTCGGTGGCCTCACCTCTGACACTTAGTCAAGACGAGTCCCGCAGCGTCAAGAGCGAAAGTGACATGACTATTGAAGTGGACAGTGTGGCAGAAGAATCTCAAGAAGGGCTCTGTGAGAGTGAGTCTGCTAATGGATTTGAAGCCAGCACTACGTCCAGCAATTGTAGTATAGTGGTGCCAGAAAGAGACGTTGGAGAGAAGGGTGAGCATTTCCTGGGAGGCGTCAGTCTCCGTTTGTAGAGATTTCTGGACTTCTTGAAGTCTGGTATTACGTTGCTAAAGCTTACTACTTTGCTTTGCCTTCTAGATTTTAATGTCTTTCTTGCTTATAAAAAGTGCTGGCTAATAGCAGAAATACTTGAAATGCTTTTTTTCTTTTTTTTTTCTCTAACTCATGTAGGTCAAAAAAGGCCCAGTGATAGCAATAGCGGAACGCTGGCAAAAAAACAAAAGCGTACTCCAAAGCGAACAAGTGCTGCAGCCAAAAATGAAAAGAATGGAACAGGTACATTCCTCAGGGAGATGAGGGGGAGGTTATGCTGTCACACAAACATGCATAGGGCCCACTGTTTCACTGTGACATGTTATTTCTGTTAGATAGGACTTGTGTTCCCATAGCTCATTTTTGGTGATTAGATCCAAACTGAAGAGGCTGAATTGAATGAGTCAGTGTATTTAGGCACTACAAGAGCACTGTTAAAGTTTTAAAATATCAAGCTAAAATAGTAATTATCTGACATAGAATATTCAGGCATACTTAACTGGTTATGTGGAATATTGTAATTATTGTGGGAATCCAAAATATTTGCATACTGTGTAGCTTACGATTTTCTGTTTCTCGTTAAAGCTTCTGTGCTGTTAGTCATGTTTTAGAAGTGTTTCAGGTTTTTAAAGCAATTTAGTAAGTACACAAGCAGTGTAGAATATCTACACAGTTGTGTGTTACCTGCTTGTTTTTTGTTTTTTAAATGAAACTGTTCAGTGTCTGTTTTCAATTAGAATCCCAAAATAGGAGCCAAAGGCACCTAGTGAATCTGATCCTGTTTTTTCCAGTGTGCATTTTGGAATTTTCTGAGCAAGAAGCAACTGGTCTTTCTTCATGATTTTTCTGACTACAGCTACAGCTTTAAAACCTTGATCATTTTCATGAAATTCAAATACATTTCTCTTACTGCAGGACAAAGCAGTGACAGTGAAGACCTCCCTGTCCTGGACAGTTCCAGTAAATGTACTCCTGTAAAACACTTAAACTCATCAAAACCACAGAAGATTTCTCGATCACCTGCAAGAGTGATTTCACCTCACATCAAAGATGGAGAAAAGGACAAACACAGAGAGAAACACCACCACCAGAATTCTTCACCTAGAGTATACAAGTGGAGTTTTCAGCTCAGTAAGATTGTTGGGTTTTTTTGTTGTTGTTGTTTTTTTTCAATATCAACCAAAATTGTGAAAGACAGACTTTCTTGAGGCATTGCACCTTCGGTATTTTAGAAACGTTTCAGCAGAGCTTTTGGAGTTAATCCTTAAGTTTCACATTTATGTTCACTACTGTTTCATTTAAAATAATTATAAATTCAAAATTATCCTTTTTTCCCGTTTCACTGAGACAGGGGAGGTTTAGGTTGGATAGGAGGAGGTTTTTCACCCAGAGGGTGGCGAGGCACTGGCACAGGTTGCCCAAGGAGGCTGTGGATGCCCCATCCCTGCAGGCATTCAAGGCCAGGCTGGATGTGGCTCTGGGCAGCCTGGGCTGCTGGTTGGTGACCTGCACACAGCAGGGGGTTGGAGCTGGATGAGCACTGTGCTCCTTTGAACCCAGGCCATTCTAGGATTCTATGATACCCCTTCCCGTGTTTCCCTGTTCACTTGATCCCAGATAATTTTTGGCCATCTTTCAGTAAATTTGGAATTATGAAGCCTCTGTCCACTGGAATCCCAACTCTCCTATGCTCCTCAAAAAAATGAATGTAACCAAAAACTGAGGTTTTAGAATCATAGAATCATAGAATCACCAAGGTTGGAAAAGACCTAAAAGATCATCCAGTCCAACCGTTCACCTATTCCCAATAGCTCCTACTAAACCATGTCCCTCAATACAACATCCAGTCTTTCCTTGAACACCCCCAGGGTCGGTGACTCCACCACCTCCCTGGGCAGTCCGTTCCAGTGCCTGACCACCCTTTCCGAAAAGTAATACTTCCTAATGTCCAGCCTGAATCTCCCCTGCCGTAGCTTGAAGCCATTCCCCCTGGTCCTATCACTAATGACACGAGAGAAGAGGCCGACCCCCAGCTCACTACAGCCTCCCTTCAGGAAGTTATAGAGAGCAATGAGGTCTCCCCTGAGCCTCCTCTTCTCCAGGCTGAACATTCCCAGCTCCTTCAGCCTCTCCTCATATGGCCTGTGTTCCAGACCCCTCACCAGCTTTGTCGCCCTCCTTTGAACACGTTCCAGGGCCTCAATATCTTTCTTGCAGTGAGGGGCCCAAAACTGGACACAGTACTCGAGGTGCGGCCTCACCAGTGCTGAATACAGGGGAACAATCACCTCTCTGCTCCTGCTTGCAACACTGTTTCTGATGCAAGCCAGGATGCCATTGGCCTTCTTGGCCACCTGGGCACACTGTCGGCTCATGTTCAGCCGAGTATCAATCAATACCCCCAGGTCCATTTCCTCTACGCAGTCCTCCAGCCACACCGCCCCAAGCCTGTAGCGTCGCCTGGGGTTGTTGTGGCCGAAGTGCAGGACCCGGCATTTGGCCTTGTTGAAACTCATCCTATTGGCTTCAGCCCAACTCTCCAGCCTGTCCAGATCCCTCTGTAGGGCCTCGCTACCCCCAGGCAGATCCACACTTCCAGCCAATTTGGTGTCATCTGCGAATTTACTGAGGGTGCACTCGATGCCCTCATCGAGGTCATCAATAAAGATATTGAAGAGGACAGGCCCCAGCACCGACCCCTGGGGAACACCACTCACAACCGGTCGCCAGCTGGATTTGACTCCATTTACCACCACTCTCTGTGCCCGGCCCTCCAACCAGCTCCTTACCCAGCCAAGAGTGTATCCATCCAAGCCTTTGGCTGCCAGCTTCTGCAGGAGAATGCTGTGGGAGACAGTGTCAAAGGCTTTGCTGAAGTCTAGGTAGACCACATCAACAGCCTTTCCCTCATCCACCAGATGGGTCACTAGATCATAGAAGGAGATCAGGTTGGTCAAACAGGACCTGCCCTTCATGAACCCATGCTGGCTAGGCCTGATCCCTCGGTCACCCTGCACATGCCGCATGATCTCCCTCAAGACAATCTGCTCCATAACCTTCCCTGGCACCGAGGTCAGGCTAACAGGCCTGTAGTTCCCCGGATCCTCCTTACGACCTTTCTTATAAATGGGAGTCACATCGGCAAGCCTCCAGTCTTCTGGGACCTCACCAGTCAACAAGGAGCGTTGACAGATGATGGAAAGCGGCCCGGCTATCACCTCCGCCAGTTCCCTCAGCACTCTTGGGTGGATCTCATCTGGCCCCATCGACTTGTGGCAGTCCAGTTGGAGCAGTAGGTCTCTGACTGTTTCCTCCAGAATCACGGGGGGGTTAGTGCGCTCCCCAGCCGAGATTACCAGGTCAGAGAGAGGAGTATCCTGAGGATAACTGGTCTGACTTTTAAAGACAGACGTAAAGAAGGCATTCAGAACCTCTGCCTTTTCCTTATCCTCAGTAGTCACATTCCCAGCCTCATCCAGCAAAGAGTGGATATTCTCCTTTGTCCTCCTCTTACTGTTAATGTATTTATAAAAGAGTTTCTTATTTCTTTTCACCCCAGCGGCTAGGTTAAATTCAAGCTGGGCTTTTGCCTTTCTGATTTCACCTCTACATATCCTAACAACTTCCTTGTATTCATTTTGAGTGGCCTGTCCCTCTTTCCACAGGCGGTAGGTTCTCTTTTTCTCCCGGAGCCTCAGGAACAGTTCCCTATTCATCCACGCCGGTCTTCTTCCCCGCCGGCTCATTTTGCAGCTCAGGGGGACTGCCTGCTCCTGCGCCCTTAAGACTTCCTTCTTGAAGAGCAACCAGCTCTCTCGGACCCCCTTACTCGCTAAGACTGAATGCCAGGGGACTCCCCTTATTAGTCCCCTGAACAATTCAAAGTCCGCCCTCCTGAAGTCCAAGGTAGCAATTTTACTATTCCCCCTCCAGGCTCCACCATGAATCACGAAGTCTATCATTTCATGGTCACTCTGCCCAAGACAGCCTCCAACCTCCACATCTCCCACCAAACCTTCCCTGTTTGTGAACAGCAGGTCTAGTGGGGCAGTTCCTCTCGTGGGCTCTCTGACCAGCTGTATCAGGAAGTTGTCCTCTACGCGTTCCAGAAACCTCCTAGACTGCTTCCTCTGTGCTGTGCTGTACTCCCAGCATATGTCAGGGAAGTTAAAGTCCCCCATGAGGACAAGGGCAGGCGACTGTGCAGCTTGTGCCAGCTGCTTATAGAATACCTCATCTGTCTCTTCATCCTGATTTGGAGGTTTTGGTGGAGTGGTCAAAGTATTAAATTGCAGTTCAGGAATTGAGACTGCTAAAATCAAGGCTGTGATTGAAGAGGTGGGGATTAGAAACTAGGATGCTAAACAACTATTTGCTGTATCTTATCTTGGTTTTTCATTATAAATATAGCTTAAAATTAAAATTGATAAGGAGAGTTTATTGAGTGTTAGATACCTCCCTCCTCTCCCTGATGTGTTACTGTGTAAAGGATGTCTTGTTTAAAGAGTGCATCTAGCAGGAAGAGTGGAATATCTGCAGTGTAACGTTTCCTCATGGGCAGCATGATTCTTACTTGTGTTGCCTGCTTTAAGGGCCTTGGATTGGGGGAATTTGCAAGAAAATTCCTTCTAAAAAGAAAATTGTGTGAGTTTTGTTATTCTAAATTAGGCATGTGCCTTTTTGGTGTAGTTGAGAGAAGCAAGTGTTGTCTTCAGTGCTCCATCTTGTACACTCGAAGAGTTGCGTTCGTTTCTTTATCACCTCCTTTTTCTTCCTACTTTTAAGATGAACTGGACAACATGAGCAGCACTGAAAGGATCTCCTTCTTACAAGAAAAGCTACAGGAAATCCGAAAGTACTACATGTCTCTGAAGTCAGAAGTGGCCACCATAGACAGGAGAAGAAAGCGGTTAAAAAAGAAAGACAGAGAAGGTAACGTTCAGATTTACTTTATGGACTTAAATGATCTCCACAGGTCCCATCCTGCCCCTATTATCCTGTGTGATTCTGTGTATGCTTCCCCTGAGATTTTCAGCATTTTTCATGAGAATACAGAACCTGAAGCAATTATTGGACAGCATTCTGGGGGAGAAAAAGTGGTATCTGTTATCTTTCATATATGTACATGTTTAGAAAGTGTATCTTTGACTTTCCAGAATGTGAACCTAGCAAAAACATTTACTGACTGTATTATAATTGTCCTTTGGAAGTGTGGAATTTCTTGGGAAATCATGAGGATTAAGAAGGGAAGATTGAGGTTGGAAGTCAGGGGGAAGTTCTTTGCTATGAGAGTGGTGAGGTGCTGGAACAGCTGCCCAGAGAGGCTGTGATGCCCCGTCCATCCCTGGAGGTGTTCAAGGCCAGGTTGGATGGGGCCCTGGGCAGCCTGGGCTGCTGTGAAATGTGGAGGTTGGTGGCCTTGCATGCGTTGGGGGGCTGGAGCTTCATGATCTTTGAGGTCCCTTCCAATCCTTTCCATTCTGTGAAATCCTGTGATGTCCTATAGCCTCCAGGCAGATTTTCTGCCTGAGATGTTTTGTGAGATGAGAAATTAAAAGCAGTGACCATATAATGTCAGGTTTAAGGAAGATTATGTAGGATAATTTAAAATCTAAAATGGAAGAGCTCCTCAATAATTTAGTTATTGAGTCATTAGGGGGGATTGGAGCTTCGTGATCCTTGAGGTCCCTTCCAACCCTGGCCATTCTGTGAGTCTGTGTTTTGAGTCAGCATAGTAAACCTTCTAATGGATTGTTGCAGTTGGTGTGTCATGCAGGAAGGATAAGGTCACTCATTGAGTTTATGTGAGTATAACAACGGAAGGAGTTGCCAAAAGTTCACACCTGTTTCTGCAATACGCCAAATCTCCGAGGTCTTTTTAATATGTATTAAGTATAGGCACCTTCATTCTCACTTGTGCTTTCGTCATCTGATTCTGACATGTTCTCTGTCTTCAGTGTCTCATGCAGGAGCATCCATGTCATCTGCTTCATCAGACACTGGAATGAGTCCATCGTCGTCCTCCCCTCCACAAAACGTGCTTGCTGTAGAATGCAGGTGATACACGTTGCTCTGCCTTGCCAGCAGCTTGCTGCCATGGACTTCAATCCTGACATTCAGCCACAGAAAGCACTCGACTGGTTTGACATTGCCAAGTATATCCTGTACACACTTCCACTGCTGGACTGTATCTGTTCTCCCCTCGTTCCCTCTCTTTTGTTGTTGTTGTTTTGTTCTGTTTTTAAGTTACCGTTTGGAGAAATTAAGCTCATTGAAGGTCTGTAGGCACAACGTGACATGCTTGTCATCGTGTTTGTTTCTGTTTTGTTTTTGTTAATGCAGAGCAAGGGCACTTATCAAATTTGAAAAGTTATGTCCAATGAAGCATTCAGGTGTTCTCGGGTAACCTTAGAGAAGCAAGTGCACCAGGTAGAGACATCAGAGTATTATCCAAATGAACTGAGTAACTGCTGCACTTTCACCGAGCCGTGGTAACTCGGTGAGTAGTTCCTCTTTGTGGAAGCACTTGCTATACAGAACTGCCAAAGTACGTGTTCAGCAATGTGCCCAGTTTTAAAGGTGTAAATGGGACAAAATAAATTGTGAAAGGAAGTGTAGTTGACTGAAAACTACAGTTGTAATAAGTCTTCCACTTTTTATAGGATTTTTGAGCACACAATTATGCAAATATTTTAATGTTTATTAATGTTTACAGTGGAATTGTGAATAGGTTTTCAGTGGACTATCTTATCCCTTGACAAAAATATTTTGTCTTTTTTCTATGTAATTTCAGAGTTTTTATTTTGTTACAAAAAGACGAAAAATGAATATATAACAACAATGAAGTTATTTAACAAGATTTCTAAAGCTGAAATTTTTGTGTAAAATAAGGTATCTTGCAACTTGTTAAATATATTTATTCAGACATTGGATGTTGTATTTTTATGTATTTTTTAAAATATTAATAAAATTGGAAAAAAAAAAAGAAAAAAAAAAAAAAAGCAAGCAACCAAACTAGGTTAGTTCACTCTTTTGATAAAACACAGCTGTCAGTTCTGGCTCTCACAGGAGGATTTACCCGTGCCTGCATTGAAATGGGTCCGGCTCTGTGTCCTCCACCACGCAGATCTGGAAGCGGGCATCTGGATTCGACTCTGACTTTGGTTGGAAAACTTTGGCAGTCCTACTCACCTTGTTTGGAGGAACAGAATCTGTTGGGTTGCCCTTAAGATACTTTGTCGCGAGTTCTTATGTTTGCTATGCTGCCGAATGAATTTCTATCTCCCAAAGTTGAGATGCAACCATAAGGTAAAGCAACTTTGTATGCTTTTGTCTGTGGATTGTCCCACAGACAGATACAGTTTGTAAATAACTCTTCCAAAACCATGTATTTAAAGCAGTTTGCATATACATTATGTATAAAAGCAATTTTTTATCAATTTTTTTATTCATGTTTGTACATTGGAAGGGGTTCTTGGCCCCTTTTTCTGTGTTTAATATGCTGTAGACTAATAACATAGATGCTCTAGACTGTATATCGGGATATTCTGGTTCACACAGCAGGAAGTCAGAACGAAACACTAGTGATGGAGTAGCATTACTAAAATCAATGTTTCTTGAAATCTCATTTTACAACATTTGTCAACTTGTGATTCCAATTCCTTCCATTTTTGCAGAAAATTAAAGAAAAAGTACTCTTGTAAATGCACTTTTTCTGTCTTTTCTTAAGCAAAGCAGAACTATTTCAATGTAAGATAATTATGGAGCTCAGTAGACAGCATTAATAAAGGCCGTGTTTTAAACATAGGCTTTACATTCTATTTTTATTGAAATGATTGTTCTTGTAAATGCCTGGGCTTACCTAAACAGGACGATCAATCTGCCTGAGTGGTTGTGAAGACCTTTTTCCTGAGCTGACTTACTGTTACTCTTACATAGCTGTGAATAAAAAGCAATACTGATTTCAAAGGAAATCACGTGGGTCACAGTTCCTCAGCTCACCTCCCACGACTGCTATTAGCAGAAATTGTTCTATTCCAATAAGATCAGTTCTTACTTTACACAGGTCTCTAACTTCTGCCTACAGATTGCTTGATGTCTCCAGCAGACGTGCACACACTCAGCATGTGTAAGGCCATGGATGGGCTCTCAACTGTCTGTATTTCAGCACAGAGGTTCACTTACAGCTTCTCCTTATCTCTTAGGAATGTTTACCTGCTCACATCAGCCCAGAGCTCCTCAGAGCCCTGAATTCTGTGACTGTCCCAGCAGAGAGCTGCACAGCCAGGAGAGGTGGATGACTTTCTGCCAAGCCTGGAGCACGTCACTGCCTTCCTGCTTCTGTCTCTGGCAAGAAGGACAGCAGGTAGCTGAGATTATTCAGTGGATGTTTCAAGGAATGTTTTTAAATGCCTGTAGAAACTGTAGTGAAAAGAGCATTATATAATGTGGAACTACGCTGCTCTCAAATTGAAATCGACAAAAAACTCTCCAAGGTCTTTTATTTCTAACTTCACAATCCCCTCATTTCTGTGTTGTTGCCATAAAGCAAACTCCAGAGTGCCTTTTCAGCGCCTTCAATTATGAATGTATTGAATTGGGATTTTTTTTTATTTTTGTTTTAAGAGACGTTTGCAGGAGCAATGAAAACCAAAGCACCCTCTTGGCAGACCTCCCTGTTCTCCTGCCTCCTGATCTCCAGGTTGTGTCAAGATGAGAAGCACGACTTCCAGCTTAGCTGGCAGGTGAAATAAATTGCAGAGGATGATGGAATCAAATACTCTTAGAACTGTTAGAAAGAGCTGGGCTCTAGGAAAATTCAGACCCTCCCCTGCCACCTACTGTTGATAAGAAAGCTGGCAGATTACTTCAGGCTGTGTATTAGCAGCTAATCTGAACACTAGAAAGCAACGTAAAACTTGCATGCAAGGACAGACAGTAAGAAAATGTTTGTATCCTTACTTCTTTTAACTTACAGTTGCTTTTTGTGAACGTGTCTATCAGCTCTGTGTGTACTGATGACTTTTTGTTTTTTCTAAGGTGCAAATTAAGCAACACGTGGTTTAATCTGCTCATTTCTGATTCCTCCTCGCATCTGAGACACCTCTTAATCAGTGCTTCTGTCTTTCAGAGATGTTGGGACAATAATAAAGCATTATTTCAAAAGAATTTAAGTAGGATTACCGTAATAATTAAAAGCACAACAAGAGCAGGTAAGTTGCATCTTCCTGAAGCACTGTGTTTGACTTTCACAGGGAGCAGCACAGACCTTAAAGCTATGGGATGGTAGAGAGGAAAAAGTGCAATCAGTTCTTCACTGTGTTATTCTGTGCAAGCTGCTCTCAGATTGTAAATTAATTTTGATACACAGTGACAGATGAATCCAGGCAGCAATTTTTGAAGCAGGTTCATCTGTGGGAATGGCTACTAGAATTGCACACGATGGGTTTGGTGGGGAGGGAAGAAGGATCCGTGGATTCTGAGCTCACATCTCTGCTCAGTGCTGAGGGCACCTCCTTTCTGCAAACGGCTTTGTCAGCCAGATGGAATTTCACCCTGACAAGTCAGTGTCAAATCCTTCCAATAAAATGTTCTTTTCCCTGTTAAAAAAATGTTCTCTGCTTGTCTGAGGTGGTCAAATTTCTGAGCAGCATTTACTGGAATTCTTTTACAGCAGAAAGTCTGAGAAAAGTGGTTCTGCTCTTCTTAAGAGCGGGTTTGGTTTGATCACTTGAAACAAAGCTGACAGGTGAGCTGGAAGAGTGATTTACAAGCTGCAACAAAAAAAGGACTGTTAACAGAGGTATGTTGAGCTGTTTATTTCGCAGTGCCCTTTGCATTTTGCAGATACTGTGCACTGAAACCTCAGTTATTTTTAGGTCTCTGTACTTGGATTTTATTGTTTGCTGCAGTTTGCAGGATAAAGGCTACCTCTGGAGATGGAAGGAACATGACAGAGCAGCAGAACCAATGGGGTGCTGCCAGAGCCTGACTGTAACGTCAGGGCTTAGAAAAAAAGGCTTTTTATAATTAGCTCACACTTAGCAAGCTATCACCCTCAGATTTTGAGCAATTCTGTCATTCTGCCATGTTCTCTTCCTCCAGGTAGGATGGTTTGTGAACACGTCCCCGGAGAGTTTAAAATCATTCACTTTCATTAGTGACTACCTGATGACCATTATTTATTAGTGCTTGCTTGGTTTGGGTTTGGGTTGGTGTTTCTGGAGGAGAAGGGGGGAATCCATGAGTTCCACAAGGATTTACTGTTCTCATCCATTGCTCTGGAGGAATATATAAACTCAGTTTTTCTTTTTTAAATGCAACTGGTCTCAAAATGTACCTACTGTAATGTGCTTTGGTGGTGGATTTTCTGAGTAGTCACAGCCTGATGATGAATTTTGCCATTTAAAGAAAACAGAGAAGGTAGGACACTTAGCAATGCAGCAGTTCACCATGGCTCACCCTTTCTGGCTTCGCTACCTTCCCCGTTCTGCACTCTCAGCAGATGTGTGCAGTTACTCCTGCTGTTTCCCCATGTTTCAGAGCAGGGCTGTGCTGGCTGGTGCTGCTGTAAGTCTGCAGCTCCCTGTGGTTTGTATTGTCTGTTGGCTTGTACTGACAGCTTTCAAAGGTGAAAATATGTCTGTCTCAGTTTTATGGCATTTGGCTTTCATTTAGCATTACAGCTCACTATGACAACACAGGAGCGTTGTGAACCTTACTTACTTCCTCTGCAAAACATAGTTTGCCAGCATAGAGAATCAGCACAAGAGGCCCATTGCAGCTGTGCAAGCCTGCAGGACATTTAGCAGCAGTGCATTTGCTTGTATTGAGCCATGCTCTGGACAGTTATTACATGGTGTTGGCTCCATCTCTCTATTTCCCAGGTTTTCAGAGTCACCCAGCAGTATTTCCATGCAGCCCCATCAGTTTCTTCAGCTATTTCTAAACCACTTCATTGCTAATCCCTCATCTGGGTACAGCTTGACCCAATTTGCCACCATCCTGCTAGCTCTGCTGATTGTGTAAGGAGGAGCAAGAGAAGGCATTTATATGAAATACATTGCTTGCGTTTTGCAAGGGTGACTTATCCTTTTTAACAAGCCACTTGTTCACGTGTGCACAGTCTTACAGCCATTGTTCATCACACTGCTCACTCTTTAACCCTTTCCCTTTTCACTTTATCACCAGGTGGCTGTGCTTCATCCCAGCTCCTCCTGCTGCCTGCTCCGCCCTGAAGTGTAACTGGCACCACCCCACGTCTCCTGAAGACAAGAAAAAGCTGTAAGTATTTTGTTTATTACTATAATTTTCCTCGTGTTGCCTACAGCACCCTAGGGAGGCCCTGCAGGGCTCAGAGGCTCTGTTCTCTGCGGAGATAAGCGGGCCTTGCTGTGAAAGCATGGCAGGACGGGTAGCCAACACCCCACTCCTCACTGATAAGGTGGTTTGGAGTGCACCTTGGGGCTGAGGAGGCTTGAAATGAGGCAGCAGTGGCTCCAGGTGTGTTGCTGGAGCCCTGGCACACACACAGATGCAACACAAACTTGGGCAGAAAGAGGGGCAAGGCTCCCTCGCTCTACACTCCAGTAAGGGCAGGATCTGTCAGATACAGAACTGGATTTCTGCTTTGATGATTTGAAATCTGTCTACTCTCCCCTTCACACTGCATAAACAAACGTCAGCAGGGAGGCACGCTGCCTTCCTGTGTACAGTAAGCGTGCCTTCCACAGCACTCCTCTTGCTTTCTACCTGCAGTCGGTTCCAGCTTTCTGAGCTCAGGTATCAGAGTGCAGAGTGTCTCCTTGCACTGAAGTCACAACCATGCTCCATTTCCTGGCATTCAGCCTCTTCTTTGCCCTTTGCCCCCAGTTACAAGCCCAAGCACTCAGCGGGACTTACAGAAATTTGGACCTTGCTCTTATCCCTGAGAGCAAGGCTTTGGTTTGACCTTTCCTGTTTGATACGTGCTGACCAGTAGCTGCAGTGTAGCCTTCTGGTTCAGACACCTACCTAAAGAGGAAGGATCTCTGTTCTTGTCTCTGCTTCAGTGAGCATTGCCTCTAAGACGTGGCCATTCACACACCCAGCCCCACCAACCCAGCTCCAGGCAGGCTGCACAGATACTGCATTGAAATATAGGAGAAGATGGCAACCTTTTTTTCCCCCTGGATAACAGTTGGTTGAGGTGGCTTTAAAGCTGCAGTCCAAGGAAATTGGGGAACCTGAAAGTAATTTATTAACTAAGTCTCTCTAATACTTGCCTAACCTTCAGTACAATAAACTCATTTTAACAAATATTTACACATCTCCTTACTCCCCCAAGCCACAAAATGTGAGGGAAAAAATGGTTTTTTAATCCTCTCCACCCTCAAGGAGTTTGGCCCAAAGGACACGAATGTCCTGCACTCCCATCACCTGAACTCTTACAGTCGCTCTTCTGACTGTTCTCTTTGCACACTTGAGATGCAATAGAAAAATAGGAGCATTTCAGTGATACGTTGTCTTCAAACATTAACAAAAAGGCTTCTAAGTAAAGCCTTTAATATCTGATATGGATATTTCTGATGGCCAAGAACATCTGTGGTTCAACTGTAGAAAACAATCTGGATGTTACAAGTGTGTTATTCCTTTGGAAAAAAAATAAAACACCAACCAGGCCATTGCAGACTTGCTGCCTTATTTGGGCTCTTTTTTAGCCTTTGCTATTTTAGAATTAGCTCTTAACCATCTCCAAGGGAACAAGGCACGGGGGGACGTAGGAAAAAGCAGTGATGTGGATACTACAAAACACGTCAACCAGAAATTAGAACGTATTTATTTCTTCCACCTTTGAAGTGCATAGAAATGGATCTGTGTGGGGAGCTGGGGCAGCTTTAAAGAGCAGCAAGCAGAGTGGTTCCAGGTGGAAGTGGCAGGAGTACTGGCTGCAGTCAGTGCCTTGTGCTCCACACCCTGGACAGCTGAACAGTAGGAAAGGAGAGCAAACAAGAAAAACAAAGGGCAGGATTTTATTTTATTTTTTTTCTTTTGTCACTAATGGAAGTCGAAAGCTATAAGGAAGCCAACAACAAAAAAGCATGTGGGCTGGCCCCCTGCCATTTCTGCTCCTTATTGCTGCTTTTCTATCTAACAACTGCTATTTCATGTCAGCTGCCAAGTTCTGCTTCAGCCTTCGCTGCTTGGTATTTCAAAATCTGTATGGTAATCCTGACATCCAGTTCCATTTGTTAGTGTATTTTATTAGGAAGAACTGAAGTCAAACGTGCCTGTTAGCTATCAGGGCATCACAGTGGTTACTGCTGAAAGTGCACAGTGTTTTTCTCTATTCTGTATTTCAGAACACAGCTATTGGGTAATGAAATAGCAGCAAGTTGTCATTCTGCTGTACTAGCAATCTGACTGTGGGATCTCAGCTATCAAGATCCTTTCAAAAGAAGCAGTGTTTATTCCTGAGCCAACAGCACATAATCAGAACGGTTTTCTCAGACTTTGCTCTGCACTCAGTCAGCAGCAAATAAAAAGGCATCGCCTTGTATACATGTATTCACACTGAACTGTGTGAATGCCAACAGAAAGGAGGAGCCTGCCAGCAAGCTCAGTGCTTGGAGCACATCGTGCTTACAGCCAGCAGCAAAGCCAGTTTTGGAGGATCACTGGGTCCCCCAGAGGGAAACAAGGAGCGTAGAGTCGTTGCCTCTGGCAAAGGTGCTGCTATGACACGTTATTGTCACTTGTGAATGACCTGGTGAAGCATAAAGCCAATGTAACCTAGGGATAAGTTGGCAGGCAACCCTGCCTACCTGAACTCATTAGTTACAGCAAATGACTGCTGCTTACAGTAGCTCTTAGCTTGATGCTCTAACAGGCTGCAGTCAGCACTCCAGGACACTCAGAATGATCTTAAGGCTCTAAGAGAGCAGCTGGCAACGAAACAAAAGTTCTTCCCAAGTTGAGAGATGTAAAACGTTGGCAAATCCCTACCTGCTAAAACCAATCCATTAATTAGTTATCTACCAAGCAGCAAAGAATGAACAATACTCCATAGGAGGATGATGAGGAATGAAACTGCAACCAAAACATGGCTCTCAAACAGCGTCCCAAATGATCTTTGGAAAAAACATACATACAACTGTATGGTTCCATTTACTTTACTTGAATTAAATTAAAAAAATGTATTTCCATATTACACTTCTTTTGCCTCTGAATCAGTCCTGACAGAAGAAAAAGTATAACTTTCCCATCCTCTTGAAATTTAAACATAGTAGTCTGTGGGCCCTGAAGAAAAAATTGCTTTATTCCACTGTAGAATGGAAAAGACCTCAACAAGAGACTCTGCTGTCAGACAGCACTCTCTAACTCTTTGCATTGCCCTCCACGGCTTCCAGTTTCCAAACACACCTACAGCAATCTCTGGAGTTGCTGGACATGCACCCTGACAGCAGGAAATCCAAAACGTGTTCTTGCCCAGTGAACACTGGCACTGCTCGTGAAGTCTGAACAGAGTGCTCTTGTCTAACGAGGTTGGCTGAGCAGTCCTGCTTTCGCTGCCAGAGCTTCGTTCTGCTGAATGTGATACTCCTGAAATCTCATGGAGATCCTCTGTGTCATTTTCAAATACTTCTGTAGGCAGTGTTCTGAGCAAGTTATCTGGAGGAAGAGGAAAACAGCTTCAGAGAGTGATGAAGACGCCCTCCTCAGCAGAATCCCAAGTGAAATAGTCAGGTATATAATAGGAACTGACTACATCTCATGCTCTGTGTTCAGACCTAACTGTTCAGTCTCTCTGTGCAGTAGAAAATGGGAAGCTTAGTTTTTTGAGGAATGCTTGAAATGTCTTTTAATTTCATTCTCATAAAAAGGCCTTCATGAAAAACATCTTGGAGCCAGGAGATGTTAACACTTCATCCTTGGACTGCTCTTGTGAAGTGGAAGTACACAAAGGATTTTATTTTGCAGTAAGTACTAAACCTGAGAAAGGTTGTGTTTGTGATGTTTCCCTCCTCTCTTTCTGCATCCTGGTTTGCAAACACTAACTTTTGACAGCCAGATCTGCTCTACCTGTGTGGTAGCTCAGGTTAAGCTCTTTTTTTGACCTTGTTCCTATTAGCTCTAGCAGCCTGGTTCACCTTCCCAGGACAGCACCTGAAGTGCTACCAGACAGCTTGCTGGATAGGGGACAAACACCAGGGCCTGTTCCACAGCTGCTGTCATGTTTTCAAGGGAGGGCATTTTATTTTTTCTTTCAATAATTGTAGAGAAAAAGCCACGGGATCTATTTCTGAGTTACAGTTCTACCAGTCAGATATTCAGTTCCAAACCTTTCAATCACTGTAGAAGTCATCACACTTAAATACAAAAGATGAGCACCTTGCATGAGTACCAGAAAACCAGAAATTGCTTTAATGCTGCTCAGTATAAAGGGATGTGGAAAGCAGAGATGATGGAAGAAAAAAAGATAACCTGCAACTGTACATCCTCTCCATTCTACTTTCTCTCTCCCTGACCTGGCATCAGTTACAGTAAAACCTGTTCAGCAGGAGTTAAGTCTGACTAGGAAACAAATGCTGTTGGATTCTAGAAGCACCCCAAGCCACATCTCCCAGAGGGTGTGGTGTCTGTGATGCCCTGCCTGGGGAAGCCTAGACTTGTAGTGAAGAGTGCAGTATGGAATGAGGGCAGCAGCTGCTTTTACAAATGCAGAATCTCCAAGATCCACAAAGGCATTTATCTTCATTCTTAAGGAAGTACGACTTTAAATAGGAAATTAGGATCAGAGCAGACCAGTCATCCACTCAGACCAGTATTCCATATCCACGAGGGCCACAGCCAGATGCTTTGCAAGAAAAGCATCCTGCGTAGCTCGAGCAGCTAAAATGAGCTGGTGAAAGACAATGGCAAAACCTTATCCAGAGTAATTCTGACACCTGCAATCGAGAATGTTCCCAACAAAGCAAATGCAGAGAATTATCATGGGAACAAAGGATCTGTCTTGGGAAGCCAGGAGAGCTTGGTTTAGTGCAGCAAAACAAAAGCTGAACGGAGAGATGATTTCTGCCTGCACTGAGGGACAGCTGTAAAACTCTAAGGAGGCAGCAAATGCTAAAACACAACGCAGGTTTAAATCTTTGTGTGTGGTTTAGGTGGTTTTTGGGTGTTTTTTTTTCCTGGTAGCAGGAAAGCTGGAGTTAAGCAAAGCTATTAGACTTTTAACCAATTATATTAATTACACCAGTCTGAAGCCTCCCAGCAAGCGACGAAAGGCCAAGGACAACATGCAACTCATGTGAGCCAGAGCCTTTTCTTTTGGCAGATGGGTACGTGATGGAGCTCCCTGCACTGCAGGCAACTGGACTGAGCAGCCAGAGCTGTGGGGGCAATAGATTTCCACCAGCACACCTCCCTGCTCACTGCATGCCAGAACACTTCCACTCCTCCAAAGACAGCTGATGAGCTTTTCAGCTAACTGAAAGATCCAAACTGTCCAAATCGCTGCTGAAATTTGAGTATTAAACAGAAATTCTGCCTAAAGGTAATTAAAAGCATAGGAAACATTTACATACCTCTTCTGGCTTAACTTCTCTGGTGGTGAAATCCCTTATACAATCCATGAAGCAATTTTCTGTGATTTTATTATATGTTCCCAGGAACTCCTTGAACTGCATTAAAAATTGAAAACACCATTAAAAAATATCTCTGTCTCCATTCATTTTTTTCCTTATGCACAGCTCCATGAGCTGCTTGGTGATGGTGACATTCAAAGGACAACTCATCAGAAAAAACTTACTTCCAGCACCAGATTCAGCACCAAATGCTGTTAGTGCTTAAAAAGGCTCAGTGCTGTATGGGACAGGTGTGAGTGTTGCTTGATAGAGAATTAATCTCGTCCCAGAGGACAACATAGAGAGGTTTTCCTCCTGCCCCATGCCCTGTAGCTTTTGCTCTATGTGACAGATGCACCACTCAAGAACACAGCACTCACCTGCTTGATCTGATCAGTTTCTGATATTTGTCCAGCCATATTCTGCTCTCTGTGGTTCTGTCACCTGTTCTGAAAATCAAAGTTGAGTTCTACACAAGAAACCATACACACACCACAACATTTTTGAAGAGAGCCAAGCTGTACGTGTTCCCTAAGTGTACTTAAATGCAATGGTCAGCAAACTTTCAAGCCACCCACATAAAGTTTTCTGACTTGTATTCAGCTAAAAGAATATCCAAGATAGTTCCAGATGTTGAGTTCATTCCAGATCTACCTGCTAACTGCTGTCCTTTTAACACTTTATAAGCATTTGGAACAGCTGAAATGACTACATGGGAGGGTGGAGAAAGGTGTGGAATGTTTATAAAGGCTTTCAAATACATGAAGTAAAACTGGAGTGGAGGAGAAGCAAGCAGTAATGTTATCTAGCCTTCTAATTCAGTGACTTGAGCTGTCATTTGCAGAAAGAACTGTAAGGCAAACAAATATAAACCAGTGCCAACTCTGAATGAACCAGCATGGATCAGAAATGGATGAATGGATTCAGTGCAGCTGCATTCTCACCAAACACTTCAAGTAGAGGCAGCGTTCTGGTCACTGAATGTAACATGTGAAATTCAAGAAATCGTAACAAATTGAGGGCAGCCTCAAAGAAAGAAAAACAGACAAATGAAAAGGGAAGAACGAGCAGCCAGGGATCCAAGAATTTAAGCAAGCATCCTTAAGGGTGGCTCGCATTCCTCATCTAACACCATAAACAAGTTAAAGCTTGAAAGTACACCTCTAGGCAGCCTTTAAGAACAGTGAAAGCATGTCCTCCTTTCCCATGCTTGACACATTACCCAAGGCCTATCACCCATGGTAATGTCAGTTAATGTTACACCTTGAAGAGAAGATGATCCTTCAGTTTTATTCACAGTAACGAGTGGAAGAAAAATCAGTGCCAAACTATAATGACTTTGTGAAGAAAGCTCCTTCAGCCCTCTAGTGAGTGCAACTGCTAATTACTGTGAACAAGAACAAAGTGAGTTATTTCTACAAGAGAAAGAAGCAATTAAAATAGCACTGCAGAGCTGCTGCAAGCATGCAGCCACCCTCCTCCTCCCAGTAGTGGAACAAGGGTAATATCTGCCTCTTAAAGTTACACTTCATTGCTACGTGTGTAGCGATAGAATTGAGGGACTGAAGATAAGGAGCACGTGTGGTTCTTGGGTTTAAGATCTGCATCCCCGTGACCAAGAACGCCTCACGAGGCAATGGATTACTCTGTTCTAAGAGAACCTACGAGATATGGTTACTGAGAAGCAAAGCATTGCTGAGGCTATTGTAACCTCTCACTTGTTTTAAGAGAAGTGGACACAAATGTCATCTGGGAGAACTGCTGAAATGAGGGCAGTTCTACTCTCCCATTTATCTGTTACAAGAGAAAAAAAAAAACAGTGAGAATGCTGCCAATCCACTTTATGTTGATGATTAAACAGACAGCCCGAGCCCACAAGGTACAGAAAAGACTTTTGTCCTCTCCCATGCACCAAAAGTTAACAGCTCCAGACCCTCCCAGTGCCTTTCTCACACTCAGTATTGCTTCACTGTGTTTGCTTACAACAAACCTGAAGTTTTCCTCTTCTGTCACTTGTTTGGCAAGCTTAAGATTATGCCTAACTGAGCTGCAGCTCCACAACGCCTGTACACTTGCACTTGGGAAACAGCTCTGACTTAAGACAACCTAATGGCACCATCTTATTTTACATGTCTGAAGCACCAGTCCCTCTGCAGCTACTTTGTGCAGCGCAGGCAGTGAAATTAGATGGCTTTAGTGCACATCTTGGTGCGTGGTCAAGGACCATTGGTGACTGCAAAGCCACACTTGAAATCATGTGGATCATGAGGAAAACAGCAGGAGCTGGGAGGTCCCATCTCAAAGAGCCCCAGTGCTCCTCCAGATGAGTTGTTACATACCAGAGAGATGTTCTTTTGAAAAGAAAACTGAGCAAAAGCAGGGAGCTCAAGAACCATACAATGGCTTGGGTCAGAAGGGATCTCAAAGATAATGTGACCGGAGCAGGATTAATGGGACAGGCAGGGTTACCAGCCACTACGTGGGGCACCAGCTCAGGCTGCACGGAGCCCATCCATGGCCTTGGGCACCTGCAAGGATGGGGCACCCGCAGTTCCATGCAGCAGCGCCAGGGCCTCTGAATGATGAGTTTCCCCCTGACACCTAATCTGAATCTCCCCTCTTTAAGGTTTAAAACCACTCCCCCTCCTTCTGTTATTATCAGACGTAAGAAGTTGTTTTCCCTCCTGCTTAAAGCTCTCCGTAAGCACGGCAAGGCCTCAACGAGGTCTCCTCGCAGTGACAGGGCAGCAGCGATTCCCTAATCTTGACTCAACAGCATCCTTTCCCATGGAAACAAAACAAGCTCTGTTTCCCTCTTCCCGCCCAGCCCTCTCGCGGAACTCGTTCCTCCGCTGTCTGTGGCGGCGCAGCTCTGCCCCCTAGCGGCGGCATTGTGCAACGCAGGAGGCAGCGAGGCGCCCTGACGGGGCCTCCCGGACCGCCCGCACTGGAATGCCATCCAACAGACAAGAAGCGCTCCTCCACGCGCGGCCTGCCGTTTCAGTCGCGCCAGACCTGCCCGATGCCTGCGGTTCCGCGCGCTCCGCGCCCGCGCTCAGGTAAAGCTCCTCGCTTTTCTCCCACATCCCTCAGCTCTCCCTTTCAAGGGCACCTCGCACCCCCTGCCCGCGCGGCCCGAGGACGCGGTCCTTCCCCGCCGCTGAGGAACGCGACTCCTCGCAGCTCCCGCTCCGCGCCTTCCCGCCGCCCGCGCGCGCACTCACCGCACCACCACGAGTCCGGGCCGCGCGGGGGGAAGGAGAGACTCGGCTATCGGCCCGCCGATTCGACAAAAAGCCCCGCGGCGAATCAGGGAGCGTGGCGGGCTCGCCGATAGCTTTACCCTGTGGGCGGTGCGCGACAGGAAGTGCGTCAGAACGGCGCGCCTGAGGGGGAGCGGGCGCCGTTGCTATGGCGGCGCTCGCAGCCGGCCCTGCCTCGCGCGGCCCGTAGGGCTCGCCTTTAGAACACCGCCGACCGCCTCTCCGCTACGAAGCCTTCATGGCAGCGGAGAGCAGCTCCAGCACCAGCTGGGACTCGCTGAGCAGCCTGACGGCCGGCGATGTGCTCGTTCGCTCCACCGGTGCCCACGGGGCGAAAGGCTCTGGAGGAGGCGGGTGCGGGAATGGCGTTGCCGTTTGTGTAACGCAGCTCCGCGAGGCGGTTCCGTCTGGCCAGACGAGCGGTGTGGCTTTGGGTCGAAGGGAAACGCCGTGCGTGCCTCCGGCCGTGTCATTGTCATCAAACAGGGATTCGAGCTGTAGTGTCGCCGATGTCACGCCCTGCAGCGCCGCACCAGGTATTCATTTGTTACATTTGATTTGTTTTTCGTTTGTTGGACAAATTCAGGTTAGGTTTCATCTACTTAAGATTATATAATCTACTGTTTTCTGTTACAGAGCATTGTAATTTTGGAAGCCCTGCCTGTGCTCTAATATTATCAACATCAGCATTTTTACAGTGCTTTTCCAATGGTTGTGTTTATTTTCTCAAAGTTCTGTAGCTGCAGCCTTTGATTGGTGCAGAGCTCCTCTAGCAGCCCCCAGTCCTCGCTGTAGATTCTTAGTGTTTAAAAAGCATAGAATCACAGGACGTTCTGAGCTGAAAGGAGACCGCAACCATCACTGAGTCCAACTCTCAGCTCCACACAGCACCACCCAAACCCAGTGTCTGAGAGCAGTGTCCCAAGGCTTTCTGAGCTCTGGCAGCTCAGGGCTGTGTCCACTGCCCTGGGCAGCCTATCCCATGCCCACCACCCTCTGGAACACAGCCTTTCACTAACCCCCTTGATCCTCCCCTGATGCAGCTCCACGCTGTTCCCTCAGATCCTGTTGCCATGACCAGAGAGAGAAGATGCAGTTTCCAAATCAGAAAAATTGTAACCATCTGTGTGAAAATGATCTCTGGTAGCATTCAATAAACCATTTCCATTTTATAAGGTTCAGGTAGATGACTGTGGTCATAGAATCACAGAATGGCCTGGGTTGCAAAGGAGCACAATGCTCATCCAGCTCCAACTCCCTGCTGTGTGCAGGTCACCAACCAGCAGCCCAGGCTGCCCAGAGCCACATCCAGCCTGGCCTTGAATGCCTGCAGGGATGGGGCATCCACAGCCTCCTTGGGCAACCTGTGCCAGTGTCTCACCACTCTCTGGGTGAAAAACTTCCTCCTGACATCCAACCTAAACCTCCCCTGTCTCAGTTTTAAAACATTCCTCCTTGTCCTATCACTATCTACCCTTGTAAGCAGCCGTTCCCCTTCCTGTCATTTGTGTTATGAAAGTTGTTATATTTAGATATATATCAAGCAGAGAACAGACTGAAATTTGAGTTAATCAGGGGACAATGAAAATACATTGAAGATCATTTGAACCACAGTAAAATTGCTTTTATTTTAGGAGCCTGGAGTACTAAGGGTCACCCAGAACATTTGCTTTTAGTGGAAGATCCTGTGGAGGCCATCTTTGTACCACAGATGGTAAGAAAGTCACTGTTGCTTCCCACAGCCCTGAGCTGAGAGATCAGCATTTTTCTCTGAAAGTTTCAGCTTCTGTAGAAGCACAGCAGAACTTGAGCTCCACTTCTGCATGAA